ACAGTAGTGAAAGTTTGAAATTGTAATTACTCTTCTGTGATGTAGTTGTGTTATGTGGTTTCCAGGTCTATAACTGTGAACTAGAAGATGTTGCACAGTTCCATGGACTCACTGATTTCTGCAGCACTTTCCACCTTAAACGGGGAAAGACTGAAGATGATGAGGATGATCCCTCTGTGGTGGGGGAGTTCAAGGTAAAGAAGCCTCATTTTGAGGAAGTATCACTGTCACTCAGCATCCCCTTATCCCTGAACCACTTTTGCTGTGATATAGCTTCTTTTCCTAGTCTTTGTCTGCCCTCTGGTGGATCATTGTTGAATTTCAATTAAACGCAAACGATTAATTTGGCAGCTACGAAATAGAACAGGATTTAGTCCTGGTTCAGGACATTTCAACAGCTATGTTGTTATAATGCCGGCTATAATGTATATAGCCAGCAGATTGGTCATACTTCTGGAGTTCTAAACCACAACTTTCATCATGTCCTGAATGTTTATTTCAATTCAGGTATATTTTGAAATTCACTTTGGATTATATGGACCATTCTTTACTTTATAGCAAGCATGGCTGCAAAAACAATGTTTAAAAACCCCAGATGAAGCTGAGTGACTTCCATATTCAAAGGAATAAAGCAATGACCAACTCTGGTTGTTTTAACGTGATAAATTGATTTTAGGTTTTTACTAATTACAAATAATGCTCTATGGGTGCCTGTGTTTTGAATTGTTTCATAGTAAATTGAAGAAACTTTTCCACTTCTCTGAGTAATTTGCATAGTGTTGTGGGGCATGGGAAATGATTGAAATAAAGTTTTGTCTCTGGAATAAAATGATCCAGTACTTTTTCATTTGTTGGAGAGCTCATCAGCTTTATTTTGGCAGTTTATTCTTCAGGTTGAATGAAAACTCCAGAGATTTAATTGATCATCTCTGATTCTACAGTCTATTGTTACCCTGGTATGAATATGATCTTTAGTCCCTGATGGAATGTCATTAACTTGCTGAGTTGTGTTAGGTAACTAAAGTTGCTCTACTCTTTGCGGTGATATTCAGGGCTCATTCAAGATTTACCCACTGTCTGATGACCCAGGGGTGCCAGCTCCACCCCGCCAGTTCAAAGAGCTTCCTGAGAGTGGACCTCAGGAGTGTCTGGTCAGGATCTATGTGGTGCGCTGCATTAACCTGCAGCCTAAGGATACAAATGGCATGGTGAGTTTTCTGTAAAGATATAGCTGAACAACCACCCTGATCTAGTGATAAAGATCTGTGTCACAGCCATGCTCTGTAAAAAAGATACTTGAAGCTACTGAAGCTTAGATTTTTTTAATTCTCATTCCAGTGCGACCCATACATTAAGATTGCACTGGGAAGGAAAACACTGGATGACAGAGATCACTACAAACCAAACACCCTTAATCCAGACTTTGGGAGGTGAGACAGTGATGTGTTCAGTTTAGTTTTTTTGTTCATTTGTCATCTGTTCAAATGATTAAGACCAGTTTTAAGTTTGTGTAGGAACATAAAGCATCAAAAAATACATTATATGATGTCCTCCATCCTTGTCCAGGATGTTTGAGCTGTCCTGCTTCATCCCTCAAGACAAGGACCTGAAGATTTCTGTGTATGACTACGACTTACTGAGCAGAGATGAAAAAGTGGGCGAGACAGTCATTGATTTGGAAAACAGACTCCTGTCTCGTTTTAGGCCCTGCTGTGGCCTGCCAGAGACTTATTGTGTGTAAGTATGCACTCTTTGTGTTTAGGTGTGCACTATGAATGCCACATCCACAGCACAGCTGACACATCCTACAAAGAAGGCCAGGGCGTTCTTCTTTTATGTGTTTTAGTTTCTCAAAAGGCAAAGCTACAATTTTTTTGCAGTTCTGGGATTAATCAATGGAGAGACCAACTGAAGCCTTCTCAGATCCTCCAGAACTTGGCTAGGATGAGAGGCATCCCTCCTCCACACATCGAGGGAGATGGCAGCTCACTATCCTTCTCTGGAAAACAGTACAACCTGCAAGATTTTGGTATTGCCTTTTTTAAATGCCCTATCATCATATTTTAGTATTATTATTACATATATGTATATATATGTATGTTTGTATAGTATTTGAAATTAACATGCATCTTCTACAGTTTAATGTTTTCATCCTTGACTTTTGTGATCTGCCATGCCCTTTACAGAGGCGAACACAGTAATCCACCCGCATATGGGCCCAGCCAGAGAGAGGCTAGCCCTGCATGTCCTCAGAAAACAAGGCTTGGTACCAGAACATGTTGAGACCAGAACCTTGTGCAGCACCCACCAACCCAACCTGTCTCAGGTTAAAACATTAGCATTATTTTTTTTAGAGATAGAGTACCAGTATATCTATATAATACATATAATATATAGATATATATGCATGTGTGTAGCATGAAGGGACTACAAATTTTATTTCGTTATACAACATTGTGCTGTATAATGACAAATAAACACCCTTGTACCATATAATAATCTATATGTAACATAATGCTCTGTGAAATGAATGCTTTAATGTTGTTGTATGATCACTTTGTTGAAAAGAGTCATCCTTTCCCACAAATACAGGGACAAATTCAAATGTGGGTAGACATTTTCCCTAAGAGCCTTGGTTTGCCAGGGCCTCCATGTGATATCACTCCACGCAAAGCCAAGAAGTAAGAGACACTTATATATATTATAATGTTTTATTGTAGTGCATTTAAGGATAAAATATAATGGTATGTATAAAACAGGTACTTCTTGCGAGCCATCATTTGGAACACAACTGATGTCACTCTGGATGAAACAAGCATCACTGGAGAAAACATGAGTGACATCTACGTTAAAGGGTACGTTACTTATCCTGTCTTTTACCGAAAGCCTTAAATATACATTCGACTCACAAATAGCTAATCTGAATTCATCATCATGTATTCTAGATGGATGCCAGGTATGGAGGAGGACAAGCAGAAGACTGATGTCCACTACAGATCCCTGGATGGTGACGGAAATTTCAACTGGAGGTTCATCTTTGGATTTGACTACCTGCCTGCAGAACAGCTGTGCGTTGTCTCGAGGAAAGTGAGTGAGATCATGGAGCAGGAACAAAGCACCAAGTGAATGTTGTTCATAACCATAATGCTTTTTGTTGTGATGTAATGATGGCAGGTTATGATCTATATAAAGTTTCTTTTTACAGGAGCACTTTTGGAATCTGGACAAAACTGAATTTAGGACTCCTCCTAAATTGATCATCCAGATATGGGACAATGACAAATTCTCCCTGGATGACTACTTAGGTAAAACTGCATTGTTATTAACCTCATTTTATGCCATGACCATACACAGGGAAGGCCCTGAAAGATAAATACATTCTAGAGGGAACTATTATGATGATCTATATGTCTGTTACAGGTTCAGTTGAGCTGGACCTACTCAACCTGATTCCTCCTGCTAAAAGCCCAGAAAAGTGCAGCCTAAAGATGTTGCCAGGGATGGCGGGCTCAGCTTCCTCCAAAAAACCACTGCACAATTCACTCTTCTCCCAGAAGTCGGCACGAGGCTGGTGGCCATGTGCAACTGAGCAGGATGGGAAATATGTCCTTGGAGTATGTTTATATGCACAGCACAGTCCCTGGTTAAGGTTTTTTTTTCTTGGTTACTGAATGTGTTTTAAAATGTTACAGGGGAAAGTAGAGATGACACTGGAAGTCGTGGAGGAGAAGGAGATGGAGGAGAGACCTGCTGGTAAAGGCAGAGATGAGCCAAACATGAATCCCAAACTGGACCATCCCAAGTAAGAAAAGTCCTTAACATAACAAATCAAAAATATGATTTTGTAGTTCTGTGAATTGCTTAATTTTTACATTATGTGAATGTTGCTGTCTTTCTCCATTCAACAGCCGCCCTGACACGTCATTCTTCTGGTTTACAAACCCTTGCAAGACCATGAAGTTCATAGTTTGGCGCAGATTCAAATGGATTTTCATTTTATCGATTATCCTTATCCTGGTTATCTTGTTCATCGGGATCCTATTTTACTCCCTACCGGTAAGATTACTTAGTTTGCTGAGAATTTATCGATTTGATTATTTCTGAAACGACCATAAATTATTTTTATCCATCACACATATTTCTTTCTCAGTATTTTGTAATCTGAATGGATTTTAATATATATTCCATATCCACAGAACTACATCTCAATGAAGATTGTGAAGCCTTTCTCCTAAGGAGCATTGCAGAGAAGCTGTGAGCCTTCTTGCTGCAGAATCTACAATCCTCCTCACTGTTATCACCCCTCTGAAATATGCAGTAACTTCCTCTGCTGATGTGGTAGCAGAGTGATATTCAGCAGTCTCCTCTCACATAACCAGACCTGTCTGTTTTTATTTTTTGCACTGTCTCCCTCAGTATTACTTATATTTCTGGTGTAGCAGATAATCTCACTTGTGTTCAAATTTAATTTAAATTTTTGAATGCCAAGACTGCTATATTGTAATAAACTTTGTATAAACACATTGTTAAAAGTTTGTTATGTTTTGCATACATTTGAATTTGGTGCAAACGTTTGGAAACTATCAATGGTTATGATGGTTAACTGAACCTATTTAGACTTATATTTTAGATAGATACAGATTTTTTAATTCACTTTATAATTATAAAGTATAGTATATAATGAAATGAAACCCGAATAAACATAATAACAGGCAAAAACTAAGTACAACATGAAGTAAAGTGTCTTGTTAAAGTGTGAAAAATTGGACTACTTAAAATAAATGTATACTACTGATCATGCTCATCACATACATTTAATAAAGACAGTGCCGCATTACCTTTCATGCCATCTTAATGGTTTCACGACAGTAAACTCCTTTTTGACCCAGTTGCTAAGGTATCATGTCATGTCCTCGCCTCGTTTCTGCTCTCTGGATTGGTCCAGATTTTACTGCCGTCAAGGGGTAGCTGCTGCCTGCGACAATGAAGAGAAAGTAAACCAATAACTGGACGTTAACGTTTGGAGTGGTATGTGGTCTGAGGAGAAATAGTTAAATAAATATATAATATAATAAATAATTATGTAATGCATCTAACTCAGACGTCTTGCACAAAGAGGGGCATGCCTGTAAGTTGTATCTCTTCGTTTTAATGGAGACAGCTCTGCTAGCTTGATCAGCTTGAATTACGTGAGTGCTATCATGGCTAATGTGTAACGTTAATGTAGATTTTACCAGTCAAAGCTAAATCAGCTGAAGATTACTTTTTGTCCTATAAGATGTGTTCGCGTCAAGATGGTAAACTACTAACGTTCACCACATCCCAAGCAAAATATATATAGCGCCTCTTGCAGAGTTAATATTTACCGTGAATTTACTGCCAAAAGTAGGAGGTTGGTTGAGGTTAGTTAGCTTATTGCAACGTTAACTTTGTGGAACCTTTTTTGTACTGGTTTTATAAACCGTCAGAAACAGAAACTGATAACTGCAGAATCGAAAGTTTAGACCACAACTCACCCCGGTGTCATGACCTGAGAAAGTGAACCAAAAAAACGTCCAATAACAACCCTTTAAGTTTTACTGGCTCTCCCTTGCAAACCAGTGAACAAGTCTTTGTAGTTCGTCCCGTGTGAAACCTGAAAACGGCCAGTATGTAGATATAATGTATGTGTGTGTATGTATGTATGTATAATTAAATTATCAAAAACGTTGCAGCTTTTCAACATGTTTTCTTTCTCACACAGTTATTGTTGGATCATCTTGTCTGACCCGTCAAAGATGGATTCTCAAAGAAGGTAAAGCAGTCAAGTTAGCATTAGGATTTTGTGTGCTCAAGAGTTTTGTTCAAGGCTGGATACATGCTTGTGTCTTGAATGTATGTTTCTATACTAATTAACAAGGGTGAAAGATGTATGATTATAATTGTATGGGCACAGATTGTAGATTCAGCCTGCTAAGGAGCCTGCTCTCACTTTGTTCTCCTTCTGTCCTGCTGCAGTGTGACTGCTGAGGTCGAGCCAGTGGATGTGAAGAATGATGTTCCAAAAACAAACTTAACAGAAGGAAAAGATGAACTCTTTTGTGAACCAGAAAAGCAAGACACTTCAAAAGACTGTGTGCTAACGGGGAACACACAAGATGACGCCACATCTCAGAAGTCAATGGACTGCGGGTCAGCAGATGGGCAGGAAGAATCTGTCCTTGCAGGCAGCAGCAGTGACGCCGCTCAAACACACTGTGTTGGGCAGAAATCTAAGAGGCCCAGTTCACCTGGTCCTCACCCTGTTGAAACAACCTGTGTTGCAACACCCACTCCAAATCCCAAAGTCACCCTCTGTCTTAGCAATAGTCCCAGAAAAGGTGCAAGCACGCCTAGTGATGTGGAGATGCTGAGTCCTGACAGCCCCGTCTGTAAAACCGCGCTTGTCAACAGCTCTGCAGACAAAGATCACGGTGGCAGTGCTTGTGCAGAGGACTCTGGCTTTGCGGAGGCTCAGGTAAAGGAATCTCAGCAGTTTGTCAAAGACTCTGATTCTGGATTTTCGGCCAAAGACAGAGTCAATCTGGTTGCTATGGGAACTGATGATGCTGAGATAGCAGAGTGCAGTGGCTCATCTGACATGAGCCAGGACTTAATTGGAAGCCAGTCAAGTGCATATTTCGAAAGGTACTTGTGGACATTTTCACTTAACAGTACTACTTTTTGTCCTTTATGGTTAGGGAATCACCTTTCTGTTGTGTCCCACCTCCACTGTGCATTCTTTTGGTAATGGTGTGGTATACTGACCTGTTCTGTTTTTGTTCTGTACAGCGTTTCATTTGCATTGCATAACATGGACAGAGGATGGCTGGGGACACCCATAGATGAGCTGAACAGAATGCCCCAGTGTGCCCCCCCTCTGTCTCACCTGAAAGTAGTGCCTAACCACACTGTCACAGTCAGGGTGAGTTAGCAGCCACTTGTTCTGTATGTGTTCTTTGAATGTGGTATGGTGTGAAGAAAAATGCAGTCATTAACAGACATGTGTATGCCAATGTGATTGGTCATTGCATGATGGGTCTACACTTTTAATAAGAGAGAACAAGAAAGGGAAAAGGGGGAGGGAGAATGTAAAGAAGACTGTTTAGATACAGACAGTGGAAAGACAGTTCTGGGCAGAGTGGAGCCACCATCCCCTCAGGGCCTCTTGTCACTAAAGTAATACTATCAGACTGTGCCCTCCACAACTAGTCCCATAGGAACACTGCCAGTGCTGCTAAGTAGCTACTACTTGCTCTACCCATCAACTAACCACTGCCACCCAAGACAGACTATCACCATCACCCCATAAATAACAAGAATAGTGGATTTTTAATTACTGTTCATCATATCTCTACATTTAACGGGACAGCTTTCAGTTGTTTAGTCAGCCAGCAAAAGAACATGTGACTTTTGGTAAAACAAGTGACAAGCTTGTTATCTATGCATTTAGTTTTAAGATAAGCCATTAAAATTATACAGCAATCTCTTAATTAATTTTGATTAGAAGGAATGACCAAAAGTTGAATGACTTCTTACTTTCTACCGCTCCATGTCTGTTTTAAAAAATTTTATAGGCAGACTGTTGCATATTCTTTTGGATACGCAAGGAGAAAGCAGTTATCGCAATCTTCATTTCTCTACACACAACAGTAACATGTAAAGACACTCTCCCTGCCATTTTGTTTCCCGGTTACAGACAGATCTCCTCAGAGAGGGAGAGGTCCCTGTCCCTTACCCCTCCAAGTTCAAAGACGCGTGGGATGATGTGTCCGTGAAGATGCCCTGCTCTGAGAAGAATCTGTTTCCTATGGAGACTGAGGTAAACTAGTGCGTCACAGCTTTGCATGCTGTCCAAAACATGGTTTTCAAGGTTAATTGCTCTGGGAACATTGTAGTAAAAGCCGTATGTCCTTTGGTTGCGTCATGCAGGATGGAGGTGGTGTCCAAAGTAGGTGGGAGCTGATCCACACTGCCCTGAAGAGAGGGTTCAAAAGTTCTCTGGATGTGAGGGTAAGATAACTGTGTTTGCCTTTATGTTACCAAAGATTGAGCATTACATCCCTTATCTGAAAAGGAGTGGGAGAGACACAGTTTACTCAAACCTCTATTCTGGTATCTCCTACTCTTCATGATCACTTTTTATTTTGATTCAGTAGAGCTGAGCACACTGTTACGTTTGTAAATAAGTGACCACGAACAAGAAATGTGTGACATAAAGTTGGCTGAACATGGACATGTCTGAGCAGTCATATTTCATCATTTTGGCAAAAGCTTAGTTTTATTCCATCCACTTGTAAACGTGAGACTCTTGTTTTCAGAGCATTTTTGAAACCCTTATTTTTGGGTGTTTCTTGACAGATTTGGGTATTGTAATAAAATTGGAAAGTTGTCTCATGCCTTTGATATATTATCCCAATTGAACTGTCACAGCAGTTTCAAATATGCAAAACTTATTCCATAAACAACCACAAGGTGGCAAAGTTTACAACAAGTATAGCTTACTACATTATGTATTAAAAGAAGACTTGTAATATGTGATCCTAAATATTTTTGTGCCTTAAACTTGCTGTTAATCTGCTGCTATACAGATTTATATATTTAAAAATAGTCTTCTATGAATAAATAACTCATAATTATCCTCTTTAGGATGCAACATTGAGATACAACACAGCCCATGCAAAGAAATGGGACTTCACTGCCCTGAACCTTCTTTGCACAGAGGTAAGCTGCCCAAAACAGGACTGTTACTGGATTTTTATAGGCTGGTCTGACGTTTATACCAGCTTCCATAAAGCTTACTGACTATACTGTATTGCCAAAACATGTCTTAGGCATGCTGATTGTTCTTGAACATGAAGTATATGAAATTTAAATCCAGTTCTTCAGTTGGATTGAAGAGGGAAACCTTTTCCAAAGACACACAATATTAAAAATTATTCTAATTTCTAATTTGCTATATAACAGGCTTTCATATTTGTCATTTTAGAGAATTGAAATAAACACCTCATCAGTGTAGGGCTGGGCAATAAAACAATAATGATTATTATCGCGATATAATTTTCCTCAATAACAATATAATAAATGTTCAATATATCGTCAATAAATATTTGCTTTAATTTATTTGAATCACAAACAAATTAGCACTTAATGTTTCTATTAAAATATTAAATTTGTTGAAAAAGATAATAGTTTTGAATGCGCTACCTCTGACGTGAAGTTGATGCCACTGTTTGGCATTGTTGTCACACTGACCATAAAGAAAAGTTTAACCACATAATTAACCATCTGGTTTCTTCAATTTTCACTCAGGAGAAAAAAATCTGCCTTTAAACTTGAAAGAAATAATAATTTGACATATAGCATATGTTTTTATCATGATACCATTTTTGGCCATATCGCCCAGCCCTACATCAGTGTGAACATTGCCGTGTGGATTCTGGCAGTGTTTTTTTAACTCACCATTGTTAATTATGTCTTTAAAAATTTACTGTAATGAAGAATGAAGCTAAAGCTGGTAATAAACTCCATTTGTTATTGCAAAGGGAGCCTGATTTTCTCTGTTTGGCTGCAAGCCCATCAGTGTGCGTCGTCCCCTCCCAGTACCAGACAGTCTCAGAGGAGCACATAGGCATCACACAGTTAGGACAGATGAGCACAGAGCATGGCGGCAGCAGCTGTTGCAGGTGAACCAGGGGAACGACTTTCTTTTTTTTTTTTTTTTTTTTTCTTTTCTATCTCCCTCCCTCCTTTAGTTTAACACTTCTTACCCTCTGTTCAGACAGTTATGGACTGACATACCTGTTAAGAGAAACTTCCTAAAAGTCTTCTTTTTTAGTCTTTGAATAAATACCAAACAAATTTCAGTTAGAAGCGTTATTTAGTTACCTACATTTAGTAAAGCATGTAGCATGTCATGAGTTCTCGTCTTTGTTGGAGCCATTAGGAACAAGGTCATTATTCTAATGAAGCTCTTACAATTAAGTGGGAACATTTGTTACTAGTTACAGTCCAGTCAGATTGAAATGTGAACCTGATGTTCATCCCATCTCATCATTTGAGACCATTCCAAAATGTTTTTCCCCCTCCTCTCTGAAATAATTTCTCAGAGTAAAGCAGAGAGCTCGGTGGATCAATAACTGTCCCAGGCTTTTATAGCTTAATCCACTTTAATTAAAAGGTCCCATTAAATTTGTAAGGATGCTGAGTAAAACCAGCAAGAAGCTTGCCCTTCGCGGAGTCTACTGCGTCAGCGGCCCCACTCACTGTCCTGAGCACCGTATTTCCCCCTGTTTTTTCTGCTGAGGCATTTAGCAATACAGGGTGGTGCTCATGGGAGAAGGACAAGTCAAGGTTTGAATATCAAAAGTTAATAGAACTGTTATTGTAGAGGAATCAGAGTAGATACATGTGTGTGCAGATACAAAAGCCCTCCTGGTTGTGACTGCTGTCTGTCAGTTACATTTTGATCAGTTGATGGATGCAGGATGAGGGAGCATTCAGAGCATCATGCCAACACACTGTGCAGGAATGATTAACAGCTGCCATTCCACAGCAGACATGCACCATTTTATGTGATTTGTCTTTCACACAAAGACTAATGTAGTGAAGAATCACATAGAATTGTTTAGCCATTCTTTGGGCAACCCAATTGATTAGTAATTGACAGAATAAATTGCTTCTGCCACTGCTTCTCTGCTCATTCCTTTTATTTAAATGTTACTGCTCTTTTGCTGTAGTTTGTGGCGAGTTTGAATCCTATCTGCTGTACTCCTCAGCCAAGACCAAGCCTAATTAAATCTGGAGCAACATTTGTGCAGCGTTGGGGTAATTGTCAAGAGGTACATTGCCCCTGGGCCAGTGATTGACACTCCGCTCAACGTGTAATAGCCATAGGGAGGAAAAAGACAGTTATCCAAATTAGGGCTTGTCTGTAAATTGTCTTAGAGTTTCTCCCCTGCCAAATGAAACTGTCACTGTGTCACTTTCTGATGAATGCTGGAAGGCTGAACAGAAAAGCAGTCCAGGTGTAGTAGAGCTGATGTTCCAATAGTACACGCTCTCTTTCTCTCTCTCTCACTTTTGTGCTTTTGTTGTTTGTTCTGTTTCTCTCTCACACAGTGATTTTATATAATTATGTCAGAGTTTGACACTAAATGCACTAAAAAAAACATTCTCTAAATAAAAACTGTGAAATCGAGATGTGTGTAAGTTGAGCTGCCAGGAAATACCCTGTAAATACCAGAATGGATGGAAGATCAGAGTGTAATCGATCATTAGCCCGTGCAGCAGTAAATCTGGACTGTCGTGCTGGAACTCAGTCAGTCATATGTGTTGCTGTAAAAGATATCGTTTGTGTGTGCAGCCTAACCTGTGTGTTACTGTTGTGGCTAGCTGCTGTAGCTGTGGAAAGACTGTGGGATCATCTTTCTACCCTCATCCTGCCGCATCACCAACTACCATCTATTAGTCCCACAGGAGCACTTTATGATGTCTGTCAGCTCATTACTTCTGACAGCATTTAGTCAGACCTGCTCTGCAGCCATATAAATGCCTCTGGCCAAATCACCCACCAAAGACTTCCTGTTGAAAATCAAGCCACCCTGCCACTCTCTCCACAATTGGTCATTTGCATTTGCTCCAGAAGGTCCATTTAATCAGCGCAAGCTCCCCTGCTCACCTTGATAGAATAAGGCAAGTGATTGATGACCGTGACGTTCGAAGCCAATACACTCATAAGTGATTGCGTTGTAAATCTTGGTCTATGATGGAATAACTGGGTGTTTATTTTAGAGGGAATTGCAGATGGATGCTGAGGTAAGCTATAGGCTGAAGTATGGATGCCTCGCCCGTGGCAGGCTCGCTTCCAGATTGATGGGAGTTTCCTCTGAAAACAGGTTCTGTGTAGTGAGTAACTCTGCAGCATTTCTGTTTCTTCTTTCACCACTGAAGTGCTAGGATTATTGATATCTGAGGAGCGTGAGCACACCCTAAAACAACAATAAACTTCCAATATCTTCACTGACACGGGTATTTTTTGTGGGATACTAAGAATCTTTCCTCGGTGTTAGTTACTGTTATTGGGAGATGACTTCAGACTCACTGTCAAACAGTTATTAAACCATTTAAGTTTTTCATCAAGTAGTTGGCTGCTCCTGATATTTTTCAGGGCCATTCTGTCTCTGTCTTAACAAGACAAGACTAAACCATAAAAGAAATGATTACAATTATTGAAAAGGAAATCGCATGTTGAGTTTTCACATTTAATTGTGTTTTCAGTTGAAACAGAATAGGGAAACAGAAGTAATGTGGGGATGAACTGTTGAAAGGAAGGTTCAGAAAATGTGTTAGTATTACTTGTTGGAAATCTGTCTGTTCAGAAACAGGGTATCACTGAATCAACCTGTTCAGGAGTAATGGAATTTGAATGTCAAAATGTGGGGAAACTAACAATAAATAAAATATTTGAAATGTATTAATGGAATATAAATTATTAACTAACAAAATACAAATAAGATATAATTCCTGTCTCTCATTTTGGTCATCATATTGTTTACTGTAAAAGTAAAAGAGAGAAGTGCTGATTTAAGAGCGCGAGATGTACACTGTTGGAATTTGCTCTACACTCTTAAAAGCAGAATTGTTTGTTTTTGTTTTTTTTATTCAGTTGTGTTGGATGTTCTTTTTTGATTTATCATCTTAACATTTTGGTTGGAAAAATCTGTGGTGTTACAAACCAATATGTCACTTCAGATCTAATCAGTCACTCTGACTGCTGGCTCTGAGTAACTGCCTGCCTAACTAGGCAGTCAGCTCCACAGAGATATCCCATTTAACAATACTTCTGCCGGTATGTCTCTCTTTTTTTTTCTCTCCCTCTCTCTTCTCCCCAGTATCTTGAACATAGTGAGTTACAGTGCCTGTTTGAGGTCATACTTCCATCTATGGTTGACCTAGCACTCGATGCCCCTCGCCTCTGCACAATGGTAAGGGCAGTTTTACTATTTTAAATATGTACAGTGTCTGATTAGGGGTGGGTTGCTGGAGTTTGTGTGAAGAAATTGAAAGGTGAGCTGTAATGGGTTTAAAGAGTGAAGAGTCCAGCGGTGTAAAGGCGAATTGGTGTAAGTGTGTGCTGTCAGCAGGGAGGAGAGGGAAAGTGTTAGATGGTGAATGTTATACAAGCTCATGAGTTACAACTGCTAGATAATGAATGCCCCGTTTTGGTTCATATCAAGGACTGCTTCATTAGAAAAGAGGGCTGAGAGAGGAGAGGTCTGTCTCATGACCAGTCATCCATCTGATGTGTTATGCTTATGAAATTTAAAATTCAGTCTATTCCTTTGGACTTTCACACTAGCCATTCCTCCTGTGAGCAAGATATTTTGAGAAACCCGGTTTGATATCACCCCCATCAAATCTCAGAGTCCCTCTCTTTCATTCACAGTAAATGGAGCTGATCCAATGTCACAGATCTTTTAAATGTCATCCCTATTTGTCTTTGTTTTCCTTCACTGTCATCAATTATAGCAATGCAAGTTCCAGGATTGGCATTTTTGTAATCCAGTTATCTATTTCAGATTCCTTAGTTTAATTCAATAAAGTTAAATCAGCTCCCACTCTGACCCGGATAGGAAAACCCGTCTCCAATTGTTACTGGAGACAGAAACTGGAGGCAGGTTTATCTAAAGAAGGGGATTTCTAGTACGGATTTCACCTTAGAATCATTTTTAGCCTTTGGATAATGAAGCTTTCTGACTCTCTGCTTTGTTTTGCAGTATAAAGCATCAAGGTTAATGTTTATGTGTGTGTTATTAGAGCTGGTATTGATCTGCTAACTGGGCAGCCTTGGAGGCTCTTTAGCCCTAATCAGTGAAGATGGATGTGCCCTGAGTGTCTGACTGAACTAACGTTGGGGGGAAGGGCAAGAAAACGAGGACCTTAATTACTACCACCCATTTACCCGATGGAACTCTCTTTGTCTCTTCTGCTTGCTAGATTCGTAAACTAATTATCTACCCCCATTTTCCGGCCTACAGTACCTACAGTACCAGTACTTGTACCCACTTAACATTGTGTGTTTCTGCTGCATCTCTTTGTGTATCTATGTTTCCCATTCTGATCTCCAGTCCCTCAGTTTTCGACTCTTAGCTGTGATTCCACACCTTTTGCTCTGTTCTTTGTTTTGATTTCAGTCACGTTTTTTGTCTCTCTTTCTAGCCAATCCCCCTACTGAAGTCAAGGATGAACCATTCCCTGACTCTGTCTCAGGAGCAAATAGCCTGTCTTCTGGCTAACGCCTTCTTCTGCACATTCCCCCGACGCAACTCCCGCAAGTCAGAATACTGCAATTATCCTGAGATCAACTTCTACAGGTAAAGGCACACCAGCCCTTGTAGAAAAACTGGAGAGACGCAAAAAATTAATCAGTAGCTCACTAGGGTAATTGAGTGAGCTGCAGTTGTTGGTATTTTATTCACAAAATGAGATTTGCCCCTTGAGTCTTTTTGTAAGCCATTACTTTAAGCAGGAGACTAAGGAGCTCTTAAACTCTGATATTGATCCTGAGTTAGCCTCATTGGTCTGTACGCTTCAAGAAGAAGCTTATTATGCTGTCGGACAGGATGATGATAAGCATGACTGGACTCATTGGTATCATTATACATTTTTCTGGTCCTAACTGATTGTGGAGCATCCTGTGTTGCCCAGGTTTTATTGGCAATAGTGTCCTTTCCAGTAATTGGGCATCAAATACATTTAAAGATGTACATTATTGTCTTGATTTATTACAAATATCTTATTACAAACAGGTAGAATTTTGATTGAGTTGCTCTGTTTTTAGTGATCCTACCATGGAGGAGGAAAGTAAACTGATTTCCATAAGGGGGCACTACTGCCTTGAAAACCCACTAATAGATTGTAAATGTATTGTTCTCAGATTCTACTCATTTTACTGAGTGTCCAGTAAGTCTACTTGCACTAACATTAAAGTTTCTTTTTTAGCTTGACTGCATTGGGTCATAGCAAGGTAAACTGATGGCCGTTAACAGAGTTACAGCTCGTTGTAGTGTTTTATTGTCAAAGGGCATATTTACAGGTTGTTGTTTTTAAGTTGTAAGATTACGTTGTGTGCTGTAGCTGCCCCTGTTGCCTTATAGTCACAAGGATGGGACTGTGGGCAGAGAATCTCTTTGAGCTCCATTTGTTTTGTTATGTCCTTTTTGTGTGGGAGTAGGAGTGTTAAATTGGTCTTCTCTGTTTCTGCCTCCTCAGAACCAGTGATCTGTTAAGAAAGCCTGGGATGGCTAATTGAAACAAATTGTTTTGATAGGCTGTTTGAAAGTGCATACCTGTCTTATATGTCTCATAATCTTGAGGTGTCGCGTTATTTGGAATGGAGGGAAGGGACGCATGAGTGATAGTTGTTGCACTCTTGTGGTAACGTGTGCTGACAGCAAGAGAAGGTGTGGCAGTATTGCACAGAAATAATTAATGAATTATTTGTCTTGTTTTGTTATTTCTGCTGAAGACATTTGATATGTTGACTCTCAGCCAACATCTAACTGGATCTGGTGGTCATTTTTTGAACACTAACAGCTTAAGGTATTTTTGTCACCAGTGACAATGTTTAGACAGTTGAAATGTTATGTATGGGTGGAGTTATAATGAGATTTTGTTAACAGCTTTATTATCTTATTTATGGACTGTAGATACCTCAATACACACTGAACATAATCCAGATATCACCACAACTCGATTACCCTGTATTTCTTTAAGGCAGTATCTCCTCATTACTGATATGTGTAATAACTTCCGGTGTTGTTGCCTGACATACTGGAGATGTCGGTTTGCTAATACCTTATTATGATAGTGCTTACACTATCATGAAGGGAAGGTGTAGTACAATATCATTTTGAAATTTCCTGCAGTTGGGATGGACCCTTACTGCTATCCGGAGCCTAATTAGCCATCTGCTCTCTCTTGGGGATATATATAATCTGAACCTTAATCGTACTCTCGCTATCAGGCATCTGTATGGGTACAAGATATCTGCCTTCACATTAAACGTTAGTGGCAGGCTAAGTGAAGAGGCTTCTGTAATAATGTAAGCATTGATTCCAGTTGCATGGCTGGCTGTTTCAGACCCATGCCAGCACTTTGTTGCAGGCACTTGATTCTGCCATCACTGTTAGCTTTTCAGCCAGCAGCGAAATGCAGGAAAGAGCAAGAGGGGGGGAAGGCTTGGTGTTTCTGAGCAGATTAGACAAGACAACCAGTGCAGTCTAAAACGGGATCGTTACTGGCCCTCCCCCTCCCCCTGTAATTGGGGGAGTGTCCGTCACTTTGCTTATCGTCTACAGTAGCGCTCTGTCTTGAACGAGGAGACCAGCAAGCAATCTGCTGATTGCTGTTTTGGCAGAACTGTCAAGGTTTGTCCTCCGTTAAGTAATGGATAGATTCAAGGGGGAGGAAAGAAGGCACACATATCTCTTCAGCTTGTGTTTTCCTCTGTTTGAGAAGAAAATGACACAGGAAACCTGTTTTAACAGTTTAGTCAAAAACGAAGGCTCATTTTAAATCAAAGCTGCAAGCAGCGTTGGGCGGGCCCTCGCAGGTGTAGCGCGTCGGGGTGTGATCTGGCCGCGTTGCATATTCTGGAGCTCTGCCGGTGCAGCTGTGAATTTGCTACGCGCTTCGGACGCTGCATGAAGGTGTTATACATCACTTCCTGTGTCCCCTTTGTGGCGCTACATAGCACTTGGCGCTATGAATATAAATTAATATTGGTGTGTAGATGTGTTCGGGGCGGGACAATTATCAAGCACGTAAAGTTTGGTTCAGATGTGAGCATGTACACTGAAGTCACAACAACTTCCTGTGTCATGGCGAAGAGTTGATCTTTGACGCCACAGACACGCCCATCGATGAAAACTCACAGATAGCACAGCTTTTCATCGTCAATGCCTTTAGAGGGCACAGCAAAAATTTGAAGTCGATTGGACTAAATCCCTAGGAGGAGTTTGTTAAAGTACGGAATGTGTAAATCATCCAGAAATTGCCGAAAAATTCAAAATGGATGACTTCCTGTTGAGTTTAGGGTATGGGTTCTTGAGGCTTTTTTGTGCGTCTTGATATGATACATGTCCTCGTGCATGTAGAGTGAATGTGGCCGAGGGGCTAATTTTTTCCAACTTTGTAGGGGGCGCTAGCGAGCCATTTTGCCACGCCCAAAATGACAGATTATGAGTAAGGCACTGTGTAAGGAATGTAAATAGTGAGGAAAAACGCATTTCATATGCAGGAACTGTATTTAATAAATGTCTTTTTTTTTTTCTCACTGAACCCTTTTAGTGCATTACCTTTGTTTTTATTTATTTACTGGTCTGAAAGCGGTGGGAGGGGAAAATGAATGCCAAACTGTGATTAGTCCTCAGCTTTGATCGCTTTTAATGGAGGGAGAGCACCAGTATGGGGTGATTTAAGCTGTCCCCGATTCTCTCTCTCACTCTTTCTGTCTACCTCTATGTCTCCCCGTCTCCCTTCTCCCTCCATCCACCCTAGTTTTTATGGTAACTCTGAGGAACTGAGACACGGCCTCAAGCAGTGCCATTGTAAGTAGAAAGGAGGTAGATGGGAGAGACATCATGCCAGCTTAAAAGCTTGACCTTACTAATGACATGCTGTAGCATGGTTGTGCAGTGAGCTATAGATAATTACTCTGAGAACAGATTACATTTTATTTAATATAAAAAAAAGCTATATTTTAAAATGTTTGAGAGTCTAAAGAAGGTCTGTTTAACAAAGTCAGCACCCTGGAAAGATATCTTGTGTGATCTCAAATTCCCTTTTGCTTTCTGTTTCAGGTTATTTGAAGGTTCTTCACCAAGAAAAATAGAAAAATTGAAAACTCTGCTGTGTTACTTCAGGAAAGTTACACAGACCAGTAAGCATTAAACATCTCCCACACGGTGTTATAGCAACTGTTTCTCTGTAATGCTGTCCATGTTTTTCAGTTGATAAAAATGTTTTTGATTATGATTTGTTTCTCCTTTTTCAAGAGCCGAAGGGTCTTGTTACATTCACAAGACAAACATTGAACAATCCTCCAAACTGGGAAAGGTAATACTCTTTATTCTGCTATGTTATGAATTTAATGATTTTATGAATTTAAATGAAATGTTTTCGGCCAGTAAATATATTTTTTCATTTACACAGACAATGCAGTTTTTGTTAAATTGTATCAAAAATGTCTGCAACAAATGTGAAATGTGTTGCTGTTGTCGGAGTAAACTCAAACAACATCAGAGTTGCGTTGTTGCTCACGTGCGCAACTCATCGTCATCATCCATTCCTACCATAAAACATAATGATGGCAGCATCGTGCTGTCTGGTGGCTTTTTAGCAGGTGCAATTGTGAGACTGAGTGGTGTGCAGATAAAGCTCAGGCTTCAATCACAAATGTTTCCCATGTAGTCTCCCAAAGCCTCAATAAACCTGCCAGGAAGAATACTAGTGAATTCCAAAATTTTGATGTGCAGAACATATCCAAGAGATTAAAGACGTTGCTTCAATGGTCAAATGTTCCTACAAAGTAATGACTGAAAAGGTTTCAGGAGATTTATTTAAAAATTTGTTTTCAAGGGGCTCCTCAGGGACAAAAACATAGAGATCAACATAAATACATAAATAGCAATGGTAATAAATTAAACAATCCAACAACACAAAACAATCAAAATTACACATAAGGGCTCTCCCATAATCCCAAACTACACACTTTCACATTTGTTACAAGAATCATGGTATACACACAGTTAACACTGACAAAATACCATAGCCAAAGTACTCAGTCTATCTATAAACTAATAATGAAAGTAAATACAATCAAAGTACATTTGAGGTAAGCAAGCAAAGAAGTCTTGAAGTCATTTAAAGAAGTAATTGATATGAGTGAGTTAGGCAAATTATTCCAGTCTGATGGTGCTTTAAACTTAAAAGCAAAAGTAATGTGTTCATTTATTTCATTCAAGAAACTCTAGAGCATTGGATCAGTTTACTGGCAATTGTGTTCCCCTTGGAATACAAATTCTCTTCACATTCAAACAAGACCACTTGTTTTCATCACTCCTTTAACAATGAAATTAGTGTATTGTGTTAATACAGTTAATTACTCTTTGAAAGCATAGCTTAAATTATTATTATTATTCTTTTTTTTTTTTTTGTCAAGTTCCCAGACTCAGCTGACGCGCCTACATATCACTTGTAATGGGACGATTGAGGACGATGGATACGGGATGCTGCAGGTAGGAATAGTTTTGCATTGAATGCCAGGTAGAACTCTTTGTTCAACGTGGCATAATGAACAAAAATATTTTGTAACAGTGGTACTGTAAACTTTGTGTTAAAGTAGTTGCTGCTGTGGTCAAACGTGACTGCGACCATCACCGTGCCTTCCTTTAAGCCTTCAAAAGTCAGAGAAACTCTACCGCTTGTCTGAATAGTTGTCCACTACCTGCAGAAAATCTGAAATACACCTGGAATGGTTATTGACTATTTCTGCATCTGTTCACCCCATCTCCTCACTACTCTTAGTGTTCCAAGGATGACTGGTGCATTTTTTGCTCTGGCTGACAACTGATGTATACACTTGAATAGCTCAGAGAGGCAAGGGTTGAGGAGAAGACCCTGGGGTGAGGGAGAAGAAGGCACATGGAGGAAAAGATGACGAGGGGAAGCCATTGCACTGGGGCGACCCAGTGGGCCAGGAGTCCTACAGGCGGATTGACGGCTACCTCAGCAGGCTGGGCACTGGCTGTGTGTTGAGTTTCAATAGGGCAGAGTGGGCTGTCATTTTGTCAGGAGGTGAGATTGAAGGGTGAAGGGGGGTGAGGTTTGGGGTGAACCAGTGAAGGAGGTGGGGAGTTGAGCGACCGGTAAGAAAACATACACACATGCACAGACAAACACACTCACTGTCACACAGATTGACGTAGCTGTGGGCCAGTGAGCAGAACCCTCACCCCTGACAGGCTGTTTAAATAGCAGCGTTGTGATTGAATGGACTGTTCTCATCTCCATGCCACATGGCATGAAGCTCCAGTATCACATCAGAGTATTTCCTCCATTGAAACAGGGGCCCCAGAAATAACCACAAGCAGCACTGTGTGCACAGTGGTGCTTTTCTAAATGTTAGCTAAATGCTAAGGTTGTCATTATAACAAGCTCTCAATGACAATGCTAACATGCTGATGTTAAGCAGGTATGCGGTTTACTATGTTAAGGATCTTGCATGCTCACATTTGATAATTAACACAAAGTACAGCTGAGGCTGTTGTAAATATCATTAGTTTTATAGGTATTTGGTTATAAACAAAATAATTAAAAATAAAAATTTTGACCTGATGATAATGCTAGATGACATGTCAATTTATCCTGGAGAGACAAAAAGACGAATACCAAATTTCATGCAATCCACCCAATAGTTGTGTAAACATTTCGGATCACGGAAGTTTTATTTATATATATATATATATATATATATATATATATAATTTTTTTGTTGTTGTTGTTTAGCTAATCGCATTGTATTTTGAACACCATGCACAACTAGGGCTGTCGCGGTGAAGTAAATTCCACCGCGGCAATATGTTGGGGCTCCACAGCGCGGTATGCATTTTTCATCAATGAAGTAATTTAGTGCCATTTAGCAGAGTAAGAGTGTCTGTATCTGTCACTTCACTGCACAGCGAGCCGCTAACAGCAGCTTTATGGTCTGAGCAAGCTAGCTGCTGCGTGCTAGTCAACAACATTGACGGTCAATTAACCGTGTCTTTTTCAGACGTAGCTATATCATTACCTTCAGGGCATGTCTATCAAGTCAATTTACACAGCTTATTAGTTTTTTTAAGCTTTGTTTTTTACATAAGTTATTAATAAATATTAAAATAAAACAAGTACTCAAATCTAAAATGAAGAGGTGTGTATGATTTGCCTAGTGTAATTCTAAAATTCGGCATTGGTTTGGAGTCGGTAGGTCACATGACATGGAAGCTATTGAAAAAAGGGGCATTTTCTTCCATAAAATATTAATAAATATTCCTATAAAATATGAACTCAAATCTCACATGAAGAGGTGTGTCTGATTTGCAGTGTAGCTCTACAGTTCGGCATTGGTTTGATGTCTGTGGATCACATGACACGGAAGCTATTGAAATAAATTATGATTTTCCCATAACACTGTTTTAACAATTGTAATTTATTTTTGGTCCCTAAGATGACCCCCGGTGGTTAAAAGCGAGCTATCGGATGTGAGCTAACCGCATTTACACTGCCGACACTGAGTGAACTGAGTAAGAAGCCGTCACCTGATCCTGGGTGAATGTCTGTAGAATATCCAACTTAAAACTAACTTCACCGCGGTTCAATTTATATACTGCAGATTGCACGCGCGCCGGTGTGGAGCACAATGGTTATCCACAACTAACCACTGCGCTGTAGTAACGTTATAACTACATTTCCACAGAAAGCAACATGAAAAATAGCTGCAGATTCAAATAAGGCTTACTGTCCACAGGTACTGGACTGGACTGTCCCTCAGGATCAAAACGTTAGTCAAACATCGCCGAGCGTGCTAGCCACATTAGCCGTGCAATCTGCTAACGCCAATTAGCTAACCATTAAAATAAACAGTAAAATAACACAAAACACGGCAACACTTAACAGCTTCGGAGTTTGAAGTCTGGTCACGTACAGCCCATGGCGATCCATCCTTCAACCGTTACAGAGGTCGTTGCGGTTATCGCGACAGCCTTATGCACAACTTCAGTTGAGATTTTCAAGAATGTTTAAGAGCGATTTTGAAAGAGGACATAACTTCTGGGACCTGAGGGATTGTGCTGTTTTGGTTAACTCTTGTGTTTCTTGTCTTTTGTTTCACTAGGTGGACTTTGCGAACAGGCTTGTAGGTGGAGGAGTAACAGGACATGGACTGGTGCAGGAAGAAATCAGGTTCCTCATCAACCCTGAACTCATTGTCTCTCGCCTCTTTACAGAAGCTTTGGAACAGAATGAATGCCTCATCATCACCGGTACATTGTCATACACATGCACACTCACACGATTTACAGCCTCCATGTTATGCTTTGTATGGAATTTATTACTGGGCTTTTTGAACACATTTATCTTGTTTCATCCAGATCTCAATGTTTCAAAAATGGATCTTTCATTTGACTCAATCTCTTTCTTAGTCCTGGTTTCCTTGTCTTTGCTAAAAGTCATTAAACAGTTCAACAAAGTCATGGCACATGAAATTAAAGACATTTTAGTTCTTTTAGTTTATAGGCATAATCTCTGCATGCATCTGACAAGATGAGAATGTCTGGTGACCCCAGGATTGCCTCTTTGCTTTTTGAAAATGATGTAGTTTTTGTTTTATTAGACCATGACCTCTTGCACACACTGGGACTGTTTAACTGCGTATGAAAGGAATAAGTTGGGTGTCAGCAGCGCACTTCCTTTACCTGGAAATGCAGTGAATCAGGTTTTGAGAAAGTTGCTGCCCCAAGTCAAGGGGAGTAAGTATCACAGGGTCTTGCTTCAGTAGTGAGGTTAAGATGGAGCATCAGCAGTGTTTCAGCCATTGTACCACACTGTTGTGGTGAAAAAGGAGCTGAGCCTGAAGGCCCTTGTCTTATGTTAATGAGCTCTGGGCAGTAAATGAGCTAAAGAATAAGATTGCATCTACCACTGGCTGAAATGATTTTCCTTTGCAGAGAGCCCAATCTCACTCTTAGAAAAGTCTTGGAGACAGGCAGGAGACCCCTGGGCAGACCCACAGCACTCTTACATATCCCTCTTGGCCCAAGAGTGCTACAGGGATCCCCCAGGAGTAGCTGTAGCACATGGTTAGGGTGCTTATTTGCTCATAAGGGCCCTCATTTATGAAAAGTGCGTACACCAAATTTCCAGAGTACACACAAAACCACGGTGACTTTATGATTTATCAATATGGATGTTTGAAATCCTACACCAGCTCAGGAAGTGGTGTACATGTACGCAAGTTTTGAGTTAGTGCGGAAATGCGCAGATACAATTCCTATATGATATATTATGACCCACTGTAAAAAAAAAATTAAAAAAAAAAAAAAATATATATATATATATATATATATATATATATATATATATATAAATAAATCAACAACAACACAGTAAATATGAACTTCAGTGTTTATTTTTGTGCAACACGGACTTCAGTGTTTAATTTGTGTGACTTTACCAAAGCATTTGATTTGTAGGCATATGTATTCCTTCATTTGTAGTTTATTTGGGGTTGCTTTTATTTCAGTGTATATCCAAACAAAAATGGGCTGTGACACAAATAAGAGTTGCAGGTCAAACTGACTATATTATTGCCTAAAAACGGAAAAATGCACGCTGCAGATTCACGGAACCAGCCACAAGTCAGCACCCAAATGCGCATTCAAAATGCCATCGAATGTTATTTATATATTTTTTTCCGCAGTGTTTTGCTTTTCTCGACATTTTGAAGAGAATAATAAAACGTTTCTAACGCAACACGTCTACGGTTTGTCTATGTTTTTCTTGCTCAGCGTTTGACTAATATCTTGCATTAAACAAAATGTAAGCATCATCCCTTGATGTCGCAATAGTAGGAATTGTAGCCGCTTAAACGCAAAAACTATAACTGCACTTAAACAGAATGATGGATGACGGTTAGGATAAATCTGTACTCAGGCCTCAGCAATACCCAGTGGAGCCTGTGCGCTTTACCTGACGTTTCAGAGTTAGGCCCAACAGGTGCGCACGGACTGGGTTCAGTAGTGAAAGGCTTTCAATGAACAAAAAATTATTCAGACTGACAAAATAATAATAACGACATTCTTCTAAATAACAATAAGCGTCATTAATAATAAAAATCATAAGAATAATATTACAAATTGTCATGCAATTATTAATGTGATCCGGTGTGCCTCCCCCAGTCTGAATCTGGCTCCTCTTCAGAGCCGAGACGCGGCTCTTTGTGGCGATCTTTGTATCGGACCACTTTTTTTTCACCTACAATAAAGAACAAGAAAATGCATGCTTAACTTGATAAATATTGGTCTATATTAAGCAATAAAACATTCTTACCTCTGTTGGACTGCGCTTCTCAACCCTCACACTATTAACAGAAGTTGTAATTTGGGTCCATATTTTGTTTTTGTTGGCGCCTGTAATCCCACTCTTTAAACTCCCAAATAAAACAATTTTATTTCTTTCCACTTCCCTGGTGATGGTGTCGATCTCCACGTCGGAGAAGTGCCTCTTCTTTGCCGTCTTCCGTGTGTCCATTAGTGTAAAATGAGGGCGTGGGGGAAGCGGAAACTTGAATATAGAGGGGCGTGTTATTCTAATGACGATCGTTTTCAGCCGCGCCATTTATCAAGGGCAGGTATTGCGTACACCTGGATTTCAAAGGTACGCACGGCTTCATAAATCACACGGTGAGAGGAGTCTAAGCATAATCTTACGCCAACATATACGCCCGTTTCTATGCAAGAATGATAAATAAGGGCCAATGTGCTGGGTTTGGTGACATTGTACGGAGAGATAGTGTGCCATAGTTGCCATTGTATATTTCATTGCTGCTGCTTCCCAGTAGCATCTTGTGGATCAGTACTAACAGAAAACCAATATGTCCAGATATGTGGTGCTACAACACTGAATACTCTTATGTAATGTAAGTTGCATTATCTTCCAAAGGTAACTATTAGCCACTGCTGGGTGGTCTGGACATTCACATTTTTTCCATTTATTTTGCCAATTTTTTTTTACCATTGCATAAATTAAATAGTCAAAATGTGCTTTTTAGAATTTGGAGAGACTATGGTAGGTGGGTCCCAGGCCCGAGAGGGTCCAGTAAAGTAAATTACATGTGTCCATTTACTTTTAATGGACACATGTAAGATGTTTTATACTTTCTGTGAATATAATCCATTTGCACTTTTTTCCATCATGTACCTATACATGTATGCTTCCACACTGCCGACATGTCAACGTAGTTCCATAAAATTTATTCGGTCTTTTGATGTATTAGGCCGAACACCGAAAGTGCTTTTGCTATTTTTGGCCGATTAATTTCGGTGGCCGAACATTCGGTGCATCCCTAGTAGTTTTTATTAGGTTAATAGATTAATGTTTTCTTCTTAACTTGTTTTAAGCTGTTATGAATAATGTTAAATTGGTTAACATGTTTGGTTCAGAAGGGTTAGATAGGGTTAGGTTAATGAAGTAGGGTTAGGTATTACACTTGCATATCAATACACCAAGTTTGTTGTGAAGTGTGGCGTTGTGACAGTGGTCCGACGGACGTACATTTGGGCTAAGGACCACAGATTTTAGAAAGCTATGGTTCAACAGAATGCTGTAGGCAAAATTGTAGGTTTTTATTTGTGTTGAGGCTATTCAGTTATTGGTGTTCAGACAGCAGTTGTAAAAATGTAATTCATAAGAAAAACACTTGCTAAGCTTATAACACAAGATTGTTTTTTCCAAAAGAAGCAAAAAAATATAAAATGGCAATACTAAACAAGGCTAGATGAATTTGTCACGTAATAGATGATTTCATAGATAAGTTACAGCCATAGACTCTTTAAAATCAGACTTTAACAGAGAGGAACATATTAATGTATGACGCGATCCATGTATGTCATACCAGCTTGATTATCACTAAAAATGCCCTGGAAAATAATCTCAAGAAAAGAGTGGAAACCTTGGTATTTTGTTGTCTTGCTTCTTTCTCCTATTGAAACCACTCAACTGTGTTTCACATGCCTTTCTAGTATTACAGTTAATGGTGGCTAAACTAGTGTCATTTTCTCTCTTGTTCGTTGAGCGCTGTGTTTAAACCTTTCATCCAGCCCGATGGTAAATCCATTGCATTGATTCACTTGGGACTGCCCAGTTATCCCTCATTTCTCTCCAGCAGAATTGCTCTATTTTTCACTCTCCAACTCAATTTGCTTCGGTCAACCTGTCCAAGTGTTCTGCCCTCTCACTCGCCTCCCTCCGCCTCTTCTGGCCATCCTACCTTTTCTGCCTCACAGCAGTACCTCGCCCACTACTGGTCAACTAAGGGCAAGCACAGATTAAAAGCTTTGGGACAGTTACTTAATACTGGAAGTCTGCGTGCAATTAATGGCAAAAAATGGGAAAGAATAACATAAATGTAGCGGTAGACACAATGTGAATGTCTGTAAGATTTAATTCAGTCCAATACATACATGATAATTCAAATACCTACATTACCTTCATTGGTTTGGTTTTAGTGTCACTGGACACACATGGAGACGTTTTATCTCATTGCCCCCTCACCACATTTAGAAATGGCTTTAATTGATGAATTAGTCAGTTGAATCATGCCCACATCATATTTATTTTATTGCCACTTTATTAAGTTAGCTTGTCAAAACAAATATTTAACATCCACATGTCCTGTTTTGGTGCTTGTATTTCACTGGAGCATTAAATTAGTCTTCAGATTTGCCTTTGATGACACGAGAGGCATCATTATCCGGTTTGATAAATCCATCTGTTTGACATGAGGACATGTATTATAACTTAGCTTTGCGTGCAGAAACTCAAATATAAATGGTGCTCCCAAATGTCTGCACTTGACTTGATTAACTCTGTTGGTGGAGTCTTCTTTGAACTAATAAGACAAACACATGAACAAACAAAATATGAAGAGACTAGGAGTTTGCACCATCTATCTACTATACGTTGCATGTTGCTCATAGGCTGGTTCTAACAGCAGATGTTAGAGACACACTCCACACTGGTAATACCACCAAGATGCAATACAAACACACGTAGCCATTTCTGTTTGGTCATTGTTAAAATTGACGTCTGTCTTGTTTAGTGCCTTCCTCTCATCAAGCCTAGCATTGTCTTTCTTGTATGGCACCGTATTATCTTCTTTGAAACTCCCATCTCTTCCAAGTCACCTTCAGTGGTCACCCCCCCCCCCCCCCCCCCCCCTGCCTCCATCCCTCTTTCCCTCCTCGTCCTCCTCTCCACTTAACTTTATTACATTTGGGCAGAAAGGAATTTATAGCCCAAGTAAGGTCATTGCTCCACTAATGGAATGGGCCAGTTATGCCATAGATTCATTAAAACCTTGCAGAATATTCCTTGTAGTGTTTCCTCTTTAAGTCTAGTCATCTTTCTCTATCTTTGTTCTTCTCTTCTGTCTAGTTATTCACATTTCTTTGTCTTTTGAGGTGTCCTAACCCGGGTCTTCCAATGCATTTGGAACTTCACATCAGTTTTTGTCCATAGGCGTTTTCAGATCGGAAGGTAGAGGGCCACGATGTAATCTAATGATGGAAGCCTGTTTGCCAGGAGGCTGTAATGGGCGGTTGCCAAGATAAATAGGATCAAGGTGAAGGAGGAGGACAGCTCTGTTGATGGAGACCAAGATATGGGTAGCCTCTTGTTTGACGTTAGGAGCCGCTAGTGTCCTAGAAAGTACTTAATTTGACCGGCTGGATGGCGCAAGATGTTTAAAATAAATCTTCTTTTTGTTCACTCAGCCAAGGCTTTACTTAGCAACATAATTCTCATTTGCCCATTTGTACTGTCATTGTTGGTTTATATCCTGGCTGTAGTACAGGCCATTAGCTTGAGTCATACTTTGTCATTGAAAGGCACAAAAAAGTCATCATTCACGCTTAGACTTCAAGTTTGTTTTACAGTTGCAGTATTGGTAGATGATGCATTCTTGAAATTAAATCGTGTGAATTATTAGAAAGTAAAAGCAGTGTTTAATTACTGCCTTTCAAGACATACTTTCAAAGAAAGACTTTTAGCATTACTTTTACAACGCTAAATGTCATGCTAAAATACTTTTCCAGTTGTTGTGAACTAAAAAACTGCCTCGCTCTGCTAGCAGCACATAATCCTGCCAGTGCATACAGTAGAACCTGAAAGGCTGTTTGTTTTAATCACAGGTTTAACTCCTGCTCTGCATTGAAGTGCTGTTTAACGTCCTCATACCTAATGCATACTGTATGTAGGCATCATTTTGAGCACGGCTGTATTTGTAATGACGAATTATGAAATCTTTTGAGCTCTAACCCTGAGCACATATCAGTACACAAAAGGCCTAATGTCTTGGTAACAGAGGTGTGTTACACTGTCAGTTAATGAATGTCGTAATGTTTCATGTTTTGCAAGCATTTTGCAAATGTGGCCAAGGTTAGCTTCTTCTGTTCTAACCATTTCTTCCTATTATGGCTGAAAGCTTTTCATTTCAAACCCCAAAGCGGATTACTTATTAAATCAATTGCCCTTATTTATGACAATCCAATACAAGCTGATACTGTGTACTCACATAGGGAGCATAGAAAGCACTAAATTTGATTTAAGAGAAAAGGCGCTGAAACACATTTAGGCCAGCTGTGTGCTCTGACTGCTGCGTGTCATTTATTCCCCCACTTCCTTTCTTGTTTTGCAGGAACTGAACAGTACAGTAAATATTCTGGCTATGCAGAGAGTTACAAATGGAAGGAAAGCCACAAAGATGAGACTCCCAGGTAATGTTTCCTCACATAGTAGTATTTATTTTGGGATCGTTTTTAAAATATTTTAAACGAAAAATATTTTATCCTATCAGTAAACATTGAAGAAAGCTTTGAGGATTCTTCATTATCAGTCTCATTTTTCTCATTGTTTTTCTTTCATTTTCAGGGATGACTGGCAGAGACGATGCACAGAGATTGTGGCCATTGATGCTCTTAAATACAGGCACTTCTTAGAGCAGTTTCTCCCTGAGAAGATGATCAGAGAACTCAACAAGGTGAGAGAGAGAGTACAGTTGGCTGATATGTACAGTTATTACACATTTCTCAAACAGGCGTGTCCTTGGTTATTGTCAGTGAGCGACAGATAGGATAATGCTGGTTTTTATAATGTTTTCGACTAAAATCTTGTGGTTGTCAGGTACCACCTGCAAAGACATTACTTTTACATTTGGTATTATTCAATGCTCAGAGATCTGTAACGAGAGCTGCAACAATTAGTCCATTAATCGATTAGTTGTCAACTAAATTAATAAACAATCGTTTTGATAATCACTTTGAGTTCATTTTTAAAGAAAAGGCGTCCAAATTCTCTGATTTCAGCTTCTCAAATGTGAATATTTTCTGGTTTCTTTACTCCACTACGACAATAAACCGAATGTTGTGGACAAAAGAAGACGTTTGAAGACCTTGGGCTTTGAGAGTCACTGAGTGACATGTTTCACAATTTTCTGGACCTAACAACTAATTCGATTAATTATAGAAAATAATTGACAGATTAATCTATTATGAAAATAATTGTTAGTTGCAACCTCTGTAACACTGCTGAATCTAGTTCAGGGCTACCAACAACTAGTACTGCACAACCCATATTTATAGTGGTGGTACTCTCATTTACTACAGCCTTTTCTGTTGAGGAATAAGGCAGAATATTTTGCAAGTGTGTACACTTACAAAGGCTTTATTGGATTTTTAAAATGTGCTCATGGTTCAACCTGAGGCTTACACTTAAAGGTGCAGTCAGCGATTCTAATCCATTACAATACACATTTTGTCAAAATCAGCAAATATCTCTGTATCGCCGCTTCCTGTCTGTTTTGTGTGTGTGATTCTGAAGGAGCATTGAAGGGAGGGGTGTATGTGTTTAGTTTAATCTCAGTTTAGTTTTAAATTCTGACATATTACAAAAGTAGATCATAAAAAAGTTGTTCTTGTTTTGTTTTCTTCCCCTCCTTCCCTTCCTCCTTCTCCCTGTACATTTACCCCAGGCATACTGTGGATTCTACAGAAGTAACGCCAACAGCAAGCACCTCTCTGCAGTGGCCACAGGCAACTGGGGTTGTGGAGCTTTTGGTGGAGACACACGACTCAAAGGTATCACTGGCATGAATTACAAACATGCATCCAAATAGGTGGAAGGAGAAGATTGTGTGTATAGCAACAAGTGTGAAGAAGTCAATCATTTTTCAGACACAAGAGGTGAAATGGCACTGCTGATACAGGTTAGCAGATACATAATGTTGCTTACATTCAAATTTTGCCATTGTAGCTCCTGCTGAAGAACTTTCAGCATTCCTGGTTATGGAGTGTACGACACAGTCACAGATGCCTCTTTCTCAGACACCTCTGGTCAATTAGTAGCTCTTCCAGGGTATCACTCACCCCTTCTTTCCCTCCATTTATTGATCAGCTGACACACATTTATGTTTTCCATTAAAAGGGCAATTGATTACAGGGAGGGACACCATAAATCCAGGCTGATGCAGGTCTCTGCGGGCTTACACAACATCACTCTTCATAAGCACTGGCCCCTTAGTGTCCTCTTGAGTATGCCACACTTAAAATGTTAACCAGTTGTGCTTCTGGTTAAAGTCTTGACACATTTTCATTAAATTCAATTATCATACTGCTAGTTACAAAATGAGCTTCTTCTGTGTTACACCTAGATACATGGAGGCTCTGCTGTGTTTAAAAACACATCTCCACATAAATGTACTGCATTATGAATGCAGATTGGAGTAACATGGGTATATTTGTGTGCTGTTTTGTTTAGAGCTGAAGGTGCTAATTTCCTCTGCACCACGCTATGAAAAGATCCACTGGACAAAGTCCCCGAGGATGATATTAGCTTCCGGGGACCCTTGCCCATTAGCCCTGGAATTAGCATAGCTGGTATTTTTAGAAGGCAATAACTGTATTTTACGTTGTAGTCTTGGAGCTGACTTGAGATGTGGTGGTTACATAAGACCGAGCTGTTGTTGTAAAGATTACAGACCTTTCACAAATGATGGTTTGTTTTGTGTTTGTTAATCTGTAATCAATATCCATTCTGTTAAATATTTAAAAGTCTTAAGACCTCATTTGCAAGGGCTAAAAGACTGAGTGCTGTTGATGAGGCTGTGCTACCAGTGGTGGATTATTTACTCTTCTGATACAAATTGCCCCTGTCAATTCTGTTCTTTCCTGCCCGAAGCCATACCTTATCCAGCTTATAGACCAATTACTTAGTTTCCTGAGCTTATTTTCAGTGGTCAATTACACATTTATGATTTTGTTCTCAAACTGAAGGATACTAATGATGCTAATATACTATTGTTGACCGAATTTATCTTTAGCGTTCTACTTCTTCTTTTTTTTTTTTTTTCAGCGCTGATTCAGCTGATGGCTGCCGCAGAGGCTGGGAGAGACGTGGCGTACTTCACGTTTGGAGATGCTCAGCTCATGAGAGATGTTCATGAAATACATACTTTCCTCACCAAGAGAAAAGTCACTGTCGGTAAGAGACATAACAAAAAAAGTTGGGGGGGATTTTATGGGAATTGGAACTTCTGGCCATGCTGCATTCACACCGTTATTATCCTGTCAGCGCTGCCTCTGTTGAGCTCTTACAGTAAATTACATAATGGACAGGAATGGTGATAATATCAGCCGCTGTTGGGATTGTGGGACTCCTGAGGCTCATACAGCGCATGGAGGTTGTCCTTGTTGGCGTCATTACAGGGACAGTATGCATAAATAACAGAATGCAGTCCATCTGTATGTTAAGTTATTCCACCTTATGGGCCGTCTCCGTTCCTCAGCCCATCCATTCAGCCTCAGCTGCAGAGTGGATTACTGCCTGAACTGACCCCAGCCTCTCCCCTCCCCCTCTTTTCATTTTTCTTTCGCTGACATTTATTGAAGCCTTTCAGAGAAATTCCCCTCCAGCCATCCATTTCCTAAAGTGGAGCTACAGAGAAAAAGCTTACGGCTTGTGTGTGTGTGTGTGTGTGTGTGTGTGTGTGTGTGTGTGTGTGTACGAGCCCGTCATTTATAAATGAGCACGAACACGCTTTCATTTTTTGTGTTCTTTTTTTCTTACAGTTTCTAACTCTCTTGCTTGCTGTTTGATTCTCAACCCGTTTGTCCTTTAGTCCATTTCTCTCATCCTGTTCCCCTCTCTCCACCGCCATCTTTTTCCCTCCCAGGGAGGCTGTACAGCCTTTTAAACCAGTACTCAAGTGTGGTGTGTAAGAACTGCCGCACGACTCGACCTGATGTCAGCCTCTACAGTTTCATCTACGAGAATGTCTCTTCCCCTGCTACTGCCGACGCCCCTGACGCTGTCAAGGATTCCGGGATGTCCCATGTAACATCGGACTCTCATTAACACATGAAGAGCTACAACCTAACCACCCTTATGCTGTCTCTGTGTAAAAGAGCCTTTTGCTTACAATCTCTCTCTCTCTCTCGCACTCACACACACACACACACACACACACACACACACACACGCACACACTCCCTTTAAGTTTGTGATCCCTACATACAAACTACCAAAACACAGTTTTGCCTTTCTTGTTGGTGGTTTTATAGGAGCCTTGTAGTGTGTCACCAAATGTGGTGAAATGTTTCAGATACTTAGAGCAATAGTAAATCCTGGTTGCTGTTAGGCCTTTCTTTAGTAAAAATGTGATGTGAAATTATTGTTATTTTTACACACTAATAACAAATACGGCCAAATGTGCATATGCATGGTTATGGACACTTTTTGTTATTGATAATCCAGGACATGATCATCCTCCCTGGTTATCTCGTCCTATGTTGTGTTTGCTACTTTTTTGGATGAGTTGTTTTCTCTATTTACCATACCCAGGCAGTGGTGAGGTTCCTGAATGCAGAGCGATAATGAGATGCCATAGTCTATGCATGGGTTATATTTATTTATCAAATACTCAAATATATGCTGCTCTTTTATATCCTCTAGGGTGTCGACATTCAACACGCATATTGTCCTTCAGGCTTATTTTAATATGAGTCAAAACTGTCAATGAAAGGGTCGCTGGTATGAGAATTGTCTCAGATGAAACAGATACAAGGGGTTTATGGTGATTTTCATCTTAGACCGTTGATTCTATCTATTCGAGTAATTTAATCCTTTTCAAATATATTCACTGCTAAGCACAGTATTACTAATGGATATACAAATAAAGGGGGGGCAGATAAAGAATTGCACGCAAAATGTTATTTTTATTAATGTTTTTACCCAACGTTTACTTTGGAGCTATGGTAATGCTTTTTATTATTTACTGTATTTTCAGATTGACAGTGTGGGTAATATTTAATAATGGGTTCATAAATAGATCAAAGGTTGTAAATGTATTGCATAGTATTGTACTTTAGTTTGTTTAATTTGGTTGTACTCTTTTTATTATAACTTCTTAATTAAAGTTATAGCTAAATCCTGTTAATATGGTATATCTTTGCTTAAATCACTTTGACTTACTGCCTAACGACCAAAGGATCAGTACAATACAAGCAAAATTATTTGGGCACCAGCTATTTATAGGTTGCATAGCCTCACTTTGGTTAGCTCACACATTTTAATGTTAACCAAACTTCATGTCAAGGAGCCATTCTGCAGTGTTCTCAGTATATAGTTTCTTGAAAGTGATTATTCATAGATCAGGTAGAAATAACAGATTTTGCCTTCATCAGAGAGAATTTCTTTTTTTTTATGTGCATGTCTGTAACCGTGCCTTGGCAACACACATTTGTCACTTAATTTCATGAAATCATACATTATTTAATCATTTGAAATGTGATTGAGTTTTGTAATAGCACGTGTACCGAGGGCTTTCAGACAAATTTGATTCTGCCTCCAAACATGCTTTATTAGATGAATTAGGGCTCCTAAATAACCTCATGACGTGGACTTCCATAAATGGTGTGTAGGCTTGGCTTTGGTAAGTGGATTACACATTATCTGCTTCTCCCACTCTTTGTACTGAGCCAGGCATTGACCAGATGAGCTGTGGACTCATGCAAAGTCAATTTGGTTTGGCAGACCTAACCGTTGATGGCTGATGTGAGCGTGGGTCACCTGGACATGAACTTCATTTAGGTTTCTGGTGCCTTCTGGATTGAATCAAAAATGGATTTGGACACTGAGCATTGACTGGATGTGCCAGGTGAATCCTACAAATGAATAACCACAGCCAAACGGAAATAGGAGGTTAAAGAATTGTCACTTGTTTAATTTCCCCATACACAATAAATGTTTCAAACACTGAAAAGCTGGTCCACTTTTGTCCTGTCTGGTGATGTAATTATTTTAAACAGGATGTAATTTAACACCAAGCCTGTAATGTTACCCAGCGGCAGAGGTCTTTTCATTGATGAACACTATTAATAAAACGCCAGAAAGCAACTGGTCTTTGATCCATCTTTGTCAGGAGGCGAGGTCACTACAACAAAATGGCATTTCAGTTCATAATTGCCTGACCCTATGTTCACCAGGTCAGCCGGAGAACAGCATCAAACACAAATGCAATGAAAACGGAGCATACAACTCTGAGCACAAGTGTGTGTTGTTTTGGAGGTAAAGCATAGTGAGTATATTCTTGGCATGGATGGTGAATAAATATTTTAATGAATAAATTAGACACTTTGGTGATGTTGAAAGGAGAGTCTGCACTGCATAACAGTCTGTACAAAGATCACCAGTTTGAAAACCACATAAGGAGTCTCTGATTAATGTGATGCTCTGATATTTAGACCTACACTGATCTGTCTGGTAAATCCTCTTGCAACTCATGCCCACTCCATTTTCCCCTTGTCAGTAGTGTGTTTTGTCATAATTGATAATGCTGTTCTGTCTGTGCCAGCAAGTATGAATGATGAAAATCTTGACTGGGGGGAGGAAAGAGGCTGGAGTGAGGGAGGGCCAATTATCTTATTGTTTAACCCACTCAAGGTAGAAGCCCATCAATCTGAAACCACTTGCTCAAATGACTCATGTTCAGCCTTTATAAAAGTTTAATTGGCTTATATAATTAACACTGAGGGGAAAGACGTGTGTTGTCATTTAGAGGGGCGAAAAATGACCTGTCTGGATGAGAAATGTGTGCAGTTGTACGTATCCTGATTATGTAATCGATTGCACAAAAATGAATAGATTTCTGATCACTTTTTTGGTAATATTTAAGAAACAAAACTTGCCTGAAAATAAAGTGAAGTTTCATGACCGTTTTCCTTTCTTTGTCTCCCTGAGCTGATGTGTATGGCCGTTACCTACAATAGGCACCACGGGCACCTTTGGGTGCCGCTCGCTGTGCACCACCTGACACGCGGGAGAGGGGCGTGTCGAGCCGTCTGCACTCAGATCTGTGTCACCTTCACTCATACCTGTCCTACTTAGACATTTCGGCGATGACACTAGAGTCAAAGAGCGGTGCTGTATAAGGTAAATGTAATTTCTAGAAATAAATCGTAGGTAGCATTCCAGCGCTGTCCTATTTCCCGTCATGCCGCGCTTTTCCGATGGCGGAGCAGAGGGGAGATTATGAGGATTTATGTTGACGTTGAGGGATTAGTGGTCAAGGGAAAAAGTAACAGATCCAGAGTGAAATATGCGGTGTTCTGACACTGGTGTCGGCGCTTTAGCCCGAAGAAGCCAGTAAAGCGTCCTGCAGGGAAAGGTGAGGAGGTTGTAGCAGCGAGCTGATACTGCAGTAAGTTCCACCATCGATACTCTGGTTGTTCGCTTTTTGCAGCTGCAGGGATGTTGCGCAGAAAGACGCACAGGCCCTTACGTGGCCGTAGTCCAAAGTATTTAGTATGCTGCTTCGTTCCGTGGAATTCCTATAGAAAACTGTATGGTCATTTCAGATAACGAGCCTGTGCGCAATATGTCCCCGTTGAGTGTGATGCGATCTGCGCATAGCAACAATCACTTGGAGCAGCTGGAATATAGTTTGATGTGTGACTCAGAAAATCCTCATTCAGAACTGCGACGTCAAGCCCAGTCATGCACACCTTTTCTGCAAAAATTATTGCCAGTCAAACAACAGACGAAATCGGCATTTGAAGAGTTATGAAAGGCCTAATTATTAATTCGATTCAAATGGGCTTTATTGGCATGGGAAACAGACGTTTACATAGCCACAGCAAGTGTGAAATAAAAACAACAACAATGTACATAAATAGAATTTTGGTTTGCTGTTTGAAATATATAGCTAGGCATATGCTTTTACAGATTTATAAGTAAAAATAACTTGATATGAAAAATGTAGACTTGCAGTAAAAAAACAAGTCTCTAACCCCCAACTTTGTCTTTCACTTTGTCTCTCTCTAGCCATGAGTCACTTTCGGGCGTTAGCGGGTGTGCTGAGGGGTGGGTGTGTCGGGGGAGGTCAGTGGCTTCGTGGATGCGGAGAGGCCCCGGCCAGGCGCTGGCTCGATCCCCGGAGAGGGTGCACCTCCGGATCTGCGCCTGCTCTCTCAGTGGTGGCCAGCAGCTCCAGCTATGTGGAGGAGATGTACTTTGCCTGGCTGGAGGATCATAAAAACGTCCACGAGGTAACAGTGTGCCACATGTGGCATTTCTTCCCACATTAATATATAACAGGTTGAGTTTTTTTTTTTTATACCATGAATGAAATTTTTAGAGGGAACAATGTCTAACACAGTTGGTTTAGCAGCTATTACAATTAACTGCTATTGCTAGTGTTGGCCTTGAACTACATTTTAGCCAGAGGGCACTTAATAAATGTGCACTAGGTGTGCTGGTAGATCAGTGTGCTTGATTTCCATCCAGCCTTTCACTGTCCTCCCATCTCTGCGGTCAGTAAGCAGCAGGGGTAGCCTACTTGTTTGCGATGGACCTGCTTGCCTCTGCTGGATCTGTTTTTCTCTGTGTTCTAGTCTTGGGACGCATTCTTCCGTAACATCCAGGCCTCCAGTCCGTCTGGCGAGGCAGGTGAGAGATGCCCCTCTGCTCTGCTCCAGGGCCGAGTGCGGGCTCACTCACCAGACATGGCACAGAAAGTGGTGGAGGACCACCTGGCTGTGCACACTCTAATTAGAGCCTACCAGGTACCCCACACTCCCCAGGCCTAGCTGTGACACACACACATACACACATTAGCTATCAGCTTGTATGATGTGGATTTATGTTATTTACAAATTAAAAGATTGATCACATATCTCATGGGCATCCATTTAAATCTTAATGTGGTGTCTGTGTACAGAATTAAGATGTCATCTACCTCGAGCAACTGCTGGCTCACTATTTGTATCTCTGACGTGCGTGTGTGAAAAATGCATCAAACAAAATCCACTTGACTTGCCAAAACAGATGCAACTGGCAAAGAAAGCTGTTTATACTGTGTGACCTTGTGTTAAAAGGAATATACGATTTGTTTGTCACTGCATGAGGTTATGCAAATTGCAAGATTAACTCTAACCTACTTACCCTGGCTGCTTTTTGAAAATGGAAATATCAAAGAGACTACTTAAACAAAACAGGTGGTAACATTTCCCCTTGCCCTCCAATTAATTCAAGGAAGTATCTGAGGGATTTATTAAATTCTGTCTTTTGGCAAATGCGCCACTTTTATTCCCCGCTTGTTGCAATCCTTGTGGAAATGTGTGTGTACATTGACATAAAAGCACTCCCATGGGGCTCTTTTCTCAAAAAGGTTGACCTATAACTGAGTGTTAGCTTATTCTCAAGCTGTTCACAATCAGCATCATGCATCTTATTATCTGCTGCCTGTCACTTGATCTTTTTTACCTGAGTCTCCTCATCTCTTCTCCCTCCTCCTTCATGTCTCTGTCTTTCTCTCTGTGTAGATTCGTGGTCACCATGTTGCCCAGTTAGATCCTCTGGGAATCCTGGAGGCTGACCTGGACTCCTTTGTTCCCTCCGACCTGATCACCACCATCGATAAGTTAGGTGAGCTTCAGAACTTCAATCGTTCCATTAAACATCAGAAACACCTACCAAAAATCTAAATTGTAAAAGGAGGAAGGATTTTGTCTTGTTGTTGTGTTGAATGGACTTGTCTTCATCATTTTTCATTTACTGAGGTAGTTTCATTACCTCCATGAAACCTATCTGAGACATCTAAGGCTTTAAAGTTTCAAAAATACATGTCAAAATAAAATGTATTGTCAAAATCGTTAACATGGACACAGAGTCATCTAAATTCACTACAGTTTGACATTTTCTGGTTGAGACTTTGTACAGTAGAGGTTTAGAACTTCTTATTTTATCCCCCTTTCCTAACTAAAGGCATATAGAGTTAACCCACAGGCCCTATATATGCTTATTAGATTCCTGCTTTAGAAGTCCTTACTTGTAATTACCTCCAGACACTTGATGTGTAAGGATTTCTATCATAACCATATTATTCTCATTGGCAGGGTTACTTCAAAAGCTTAATTTGCCTTGGAATGAATATATCTGATATGTGTTTTTCCTGCACTTGTTATTTCAATAACATTTCTGTATCCCTTGGAGGGATGTGCATACATGTGCACACATCATACACACATCTCTGGTCCAGGGTTGCATAACTCATCAGAGCCAGACGTGTAAGTGGTATTCCAGTATAAAAGGCCCCATCACGTTATTTGCCAATATAAGGGTTGGTCAGCCTAATGCCGTGATTAATCTTAGGCCTAGCTCTTGTCATTCTGCATTTCATTTAGTGGACAGAGGATCGGCGGGTGCGGGACGGCCACAGAAGGCGATCGAAGTCTATACTAGTAATAGCTAGAAAAGAGGACAGAGAGAGAGAGAGACATTGTTTCTGTTGGCTGCTGTTATCAGTGATCAGTGTGTGTCAGAACATAGCATCGCATTATGTATTGTCACCAGGGCTATAGCTCCCTAATGAAAGCTAATGACTGACTCCGTGGCCCCTTATTTGGTCAGCTGATAGTACAAGAGTCTATTTTGGGACCCCTTTGTCTGTGCTGAGATCCTAATATGATTTGCACTTGTCTCCTCTTATGTTGCCTGCAATCTTGAGCTTGACCAGCTCTCTCAGGTGGGCTTTGTCAGCACAGGAACTTATGTGGGCCCGCAGATACTGATGCTGTATCTCCACAGCTCCCGCTATTGTACTGTCTGCAAATGCATCCTGGATAACTGTTTTTATTTGAGCTTTTTTTGTCACAGATTTTGCCATCAAATACAAATTTGCTTGGATGAACATTTAAGTTGATTCACTGCAGTGTTATTCTCTAAGTTTGCAGGCAGTACTGTGGTTCTATTAATTAAAACAAAAGGTGATTAGGGCAGGTCAGATTCCACTTCAGATTGCTTGTTTTGCCGGACCAACAGTCCAAAACCCAAAGGAATCAATTTACAATGGTGTAAAACGGATTGAATCCGCAAATCCTCACATTGGTGATTGATTGATTGATAAATGACTTAAACCATTTGTCAATTGTCAAAAATGTTCTCTCTCTCAAAGACAGGTCTTTGTGTTATGCATATTACTGTGTTAAAACGGATTTGTTCTGGGTGTTCTTTGGTTTGGATCCTTGGATTTTTTTATGTCCTCCCTTGGAAGCTAACAGCTTCCTTTGTCTACTACACCAAAATGTGATTTGCAACTGACAAATGTGAACAAATAAAAAATAGCTTTAATTCAAATTTTTGTCACGACATGGAACATGTGCTCAGGGCCAGTCCGTAGGTTATGTGGTAGGCCTGTTATGAAAGTCTTAAACAAACTTGCTTTTCAAATGGTATCGTAGGTTTCTATGGTCTTGATGAGTCTGACTTGGATAGGAGCTTTCGGCTGCCTTCCACCACCTTCATCGGAGGAGAAAACACCACTCTTCCTCTTCAAGAAATCATACACAGACTAGAGGTATGTTGTTTGTGTGTTTGTGTCCGTGCATGTGTCTGATGATGGGGGAAAGCACTGTACCAAGCTGTTTGTGTTTTTTTAATCTCTCCTTTTTTAGACATCCTACTGTGGTCACATAGGGGTCGAGTTTATGTTCATTAACAACATGGACCAGTGTCAGTGGATTCGTCAGAAATTTGAGACTCCGGGAATCATGCAGTTCACTAATGCTGAGAAGAGAACTTTGCTAGCCCGCCTGGTCAGATCCACACGGTCAGCAATGAATAAACACCTACTGACTTACTCTTTGATGACAGCACAATATCTCACTTTTAGTTATAGCTCCCATCAGAGGCTCACATAACATAAACAAAACACCCCATTCATCATGTGAGCTCATTATCATCTTTGATAAATTATGTCAGAAGTTACTGTAGGTTCCTGGAAGTGATTCTCCTATTCTTCTTATTGTATCTTTGACTGTCTTGTGTTCTTGCAGTGTTGTCATTTCTATTAACACACACGCACCCACACACACACACACAACCACACACACACACACACATTGGTAGCGAAATAAATTTGCTAAACGCTTGAGTGCTCTAAACCATCATTGTTCCAAGAATCATCATAATTATCAGTGACAGGGTTAATCTGTATCATCAGTTGTGTAAAGCTACTTGTTAGTGGCAAAACCCTCCATTTAACCCTAAATCTGAACTGTCTAGATTTGAGGACTTCCTGGCCAGAAAGTGGTCATCAGAGAAACGTTTTGGTCTGGAGGGCTGTGAAGTGCTCATCCCTGCTCTTAAAACCATCATTGACAAGTCGAGTGCTGCAGGCATTGAAAGTGTAATCATGGGAATGCCTCATCGGTACCTGTATATTCTATATTTTCTTACCTCTCCGTTCAGTCTATGCATACTGCTAATTCTCATCCATCCATGTTTGATGTAAGCTTTGTAAACTGTACTTCCAGGGGTCGACTGAATGTCTTGGCCAATGTGATCCGTAAGGAGCTGAATCAGATCTTCTGTCAGTTCGACCCCAAGTTAGAGGCCACCGATGAGGTGAGGGAACTGCTGTTTTGTGAGAATTATCAGAAAGCATTCTGGAGATGCAACTTTTGCTTTATTTCATAACCTTTTTTACATCTATAGGGGTCGGGTGACGTCAAATACCACCTTGGGATGTACCACGAGAGGATCAACCGTGAGACGGACAAGAACATCACGCTGTCACTCATGGCAAACCCCTCCCACCTGGAGGCGGTGGATCCGGTGGTTCAGGGCAAGGCCAAAGCTGAGCAGTTCTACAGAGGAGACACTCAGGGAAAGAAGGTAACAGTTATTGTACCAGGCAGATGGTGGCTAGATTTGTGTTTGGCGGTGTAAATGTAGATGTGTGCATAAGAGATACACAGATGGTGCTACTCTGTCTTGCTGAGTCTATGATGGGATTTTTTTCCAGGTGATGTGCATCTTGATTCATGGTGACGCTGCTTTTGCTGGACAAGGAGTTGTATATGAGACTTTCCACCTAAGTGAGCTCCCCTCCTACACCACACATGGTACAATCCATGTGGTTGTCAACAACCAGGTATTGGAGAGTTCGGTGTTACGTTTACTGTACCTGACACAATGTGTTATAGTTTTACACAATTCTGTTGTTTAATTCATCATTCCAAAAAACTGTACATCAAAACTAACAAAATTAGCTAATTTGTTGCACTAAAAATAATTTTCATCTTCTTGAGTGTGATTTCAGACTCTAAATTATATCAACTTTTGCATGTGATCCTTTCAGATTGGCTTCACTACAGACCCTCGAGTGGCCCGCTCCTCCCCCTACCCCACCGATGTGGCTCGGGTTGTCAATGCACCCATCTTCCATGTGAATGCCGATGACCCCGAGGCTGTAATGTACGTGTGCCGGGTGGCTGCAGAGTGGAGGGCCACCTTCAACAAGGATGTTGTCATTGACCTGGTTAGTCACAGCTGACTCTTAATGGACTGACAGGAAACACAATCAAAAGTACACACTTAGACATGGCCTCTGTTTTTGAGGTGTGTGTGTGTATGTACAGGTTTCTTACAGGCGCTTTGGCCACAATGAGATGGACGAGCCCATGTTCACCCAACCGCTGATGTACAAACAGATCCGTCGGCAGGAGCATGTGCTGAAAAAGTATTCTGACAAGCTCATTGCTGAGGGAGTGGTGACGCTGCAGGAATTTGAGGTTTGTGATCTAATGCTGTTTGCTCTTGTTAAATATACTGTATACTGGTAGCTGCTACTGTATACTGTTTTATTTGGTATCTCCATCCACTGGACTACTTGTGCATTAAATCACACTTAGATATTACCCTAGCCTTCAAGTGAATACGTTGTGCCAGCACTGCTGTATTTGAGTTTCAATTTACTGCCTCAGTTCAATCACCCAGCCCCACAATCCCTCAGAGAGTATATATTGCTCAATGAAGTTGAAATATATCTCAGATTCTGGCATCAGTCAATGCAATTCTTCATCCAAAACAGAAACTTTGATTGTAACATCTATTCTGATTTTTTTTTTATACCACATGTCAAGAGAAATACTGCTGCGCCTCTCTCCTCCTTTGATGGACATTGTTTTCTGTTGTGTGGCCTGCCATTTGGACTCTTGCAAAAGCCCCATTTTTAATATAGCAAGGCAGAACCATTACTGCTGGTGGAGACCTTTTTCCGCCCTTCATATTTCTTTCTCTCTGTCTCCCTGCCTCAGCTACACACAGTTTTTGTTAGTCAGCTTTAGTCCTTTAATGGAAGTAAAAAAAAACTGTGTTTGCGTCACTTCATATGTGGAATTTGTCATTGTCCCTATCACACATGACCAAATGGGGTTGCAGGAAGAAGTTGCCAAATATGACAAGATATGTGAGGAGGCATACACCAGCTCCAAGGATGAAAAGATTTTACACATTCGACACTGGCTTGACTCCCCGTGGCCAGGTAAATTGTCTCTTTGCAGAAAGTGATTCAATTAAAATTTTTCTTTTGATTGGCTGCTTTTTCTGTGAATACTTTTTTCTTCCTGCTGGAGTGAAGCGTTCTCTCTCTGTAGATTTCTTCACAGCAGAGGGAGAGCCCAGGAGCATGATCTGTGTCCCCACAGGGCTGGATGAGGAGGTCCTGCAGCACATTGGCCAGACAGCCAGCTCAGTGCCTCTGGAAGATTTTAAAATCCACCCTGGTGAGTTTAGTTGCTTTGTACTGGAGAATAGAGCATGCATACATAGCATGTATAGTATTACTAATACTAATACAGATATGCTGTGCAAGGATTGTACACAATAAGAGAAGAGCTCACATTACTGCAGAACAATATGGGATACATGCCGCTTAATGATATGATAAAGATCCATAAAATATAAACAGTGCCACGTTTACTTGATTTTTTTTCTACAGGGATGATATTATGTCAATTAAAGCAGTTCACCTTTAAAGACATCAGTTTCCAACAGCAGGTGTTTGGCCTGCACAGCTGATTCGGCTCATGCTATAGCAATTTAGATTGCCACAGGGGTTTTTAATGTTATTTACAATACGGTACGTTGGTCCATTGCACTACCTTCCCCAGTGCTAAGATATCACTTTCACTTTCGTTCCTATGTGTGTGTGTGTGTGTGTGTGTGTGAGAGAGAGAGATACAGTGATGCACTCGTGCGCTACTGTACATCTACTACTTAATCACAAGGAAAAAACATTGCTGCAACCAACATTTGAATGTGTGTGTGTTCACCAGGTGTGTCTCGTATCCTGCGTGGTCGAGCTCACCTGGTGACGAATCGGCAGATGGACTGGGCTCTGGGAGAGTACATGGCCTTTGGCTCCCTTCTCAAAGAAGGCATCCATGTACGACTCAGCGGGCAGGATGTGGAGCGGGGAACCTTTAGGTGAGTCCATGTCAACACCACTGAAAACTGTAGCCTCTTCAGGCTTCTGGTATTAATGCTGTCAGACTAGAAGGAGCTCCCCCTCCACTACAGTCTTTTACTGTTGACCATTGTTCAGCTCCGCTGTGCTGATGGATCAAGTGAAGTTGCTGAATAAATAGAGTGTTTTAAGAATCATAGTCACAGTAACTCACTTAATCGATTTTTCAATCACAAATTAGCTTTATCTTTCCTTATAATAATGTAGGGCTGGGTGCTAATTAGACAAAATTGCTCATCAACTTTCATCTAAATCATACTGAGATGAAATTACATTATATTTTTATCGTTCTACAGATTTCACAATGGAGGAGTTATTTACATATATAAAGAGTTTTTTCTCATGTTCAGTATATTTTTATAACACTGTGATAATGATTTCAACGATGTCACCTAGCCGTGCATTGCCTCTTAGATTGATTTTGCCCCAAATGGCACATTTGCTGAGTATGTCAGGGTGAGCCTGTCATCCTGACTTTATCAGATATTAAGAGAAGTCTCCTAAAGAGAGTGAATTAAGTAATTAGGGTGGGGGTGGGGAGTGTGGCACAAGGAGTCTGACAGACAGGAAACGTCAGCGCAGTCTCCTGGGAACTGTGAAACCCACATGGTGTTGTCATGGTATGGAGGGAACGAGTGACACATGAACAAAACCAGCTCCCCTTTTCACTGTGCCTGTCTCGTCTGCACCCTATCACTTCTCCACCAACCCATCTTCAATGACACCACCGCCCAGGCCCACCCCTCCCCAGCTCACAGCAACATATCACACTAACTAACCAGAGGCTATGGGGCTTTTTCTTTTGCCTCACGTTTACCACTGACATCTACTTCTCCCCGTTTGCTGTCCCCTTAAGCAGGGCAATTTGCCTGGCTGGGAAAAAAATTACAGCAGTCAAAAACTACATCCACCCTGCATCTCTGTATCACCTGTTGTTTATTTAAATCCTCTTCTGTGTCAGTTGAGTCCGCAAGCTTTCTCTCTCATCGTACTTCAGCTATACCCACTTTACCACCACCCCATATTGCTTTTTTCCTCCTCCCACCTACACTTTTTTTCATCCCCCACTACTCTGCTCCCCTTCATAGTTCTTAGGAGCTGAGCATATTGGCATGTTACAGTTGAGTGAACATGCTTGCGTTTCTGTGATGTACGTAACAGCGTGGACTAATGGATTCAGTCGCCGTGTTTGGGTGGGTTGCATGCGCTGCGCTGTGCACCCCTTTCCCTGACTAATGGGGCCCCTAGGCAGAGGAAGTGTGAGTGTGTGTTTTTGTGTGTGTTAACTAAAGAAAGTAGAGACATGTAGAGAGGGCATGCAGTTCATGAGGCAATCCCATAGAAAGACCTCATTCTCGTGAGGTTTTTGGGTCCTCTTTGGATGGTGTGCGGGTGGATTGAGAAAATGGAACATGAAATGATGTGTGTTACCTCAATTAATGCTGGCTGCTCTCGATTGTGTTCTTTTCATCAAAGGATTTCTTGAAGAGAAAGTGTATATCCTGCAAATGTGGAACAAGGATCAAACATAATAATTATGCAGTGCATTATGTGTCCTCATTAGACCATAATTATGGGTGATATTATTCAAAGGGCTATAATGATCACGTAGTCTTCTAGGAGGTAATATATCACATTCAAGATAATAATCAATAGAATTTGTTTCCTGCAGTTCTTCCGCCTTACTATTACATAACCTCTAGCACTGTGTGTGTGTGTGTGTGTGTGTGTGTGTGTGTGTGTGTGTGTGTGTGTGTGTGTGTGTGTGTGTGTGTGTGTGTGTGTGTGTGTGTGTGTAGATGTCATTAAAGTGATGTTAAAGGGGTTTAAGTGATTGTCTGATCGTGCTGGTTTTGAAAGCTGATTCCTACACTGGGAGCGAGCGGACTGGCAGAGCTTGTTAACGCTCGGCTCTGTGCTCCCATCAGCTCTTATTGGGCTTCATACTGACTGATGATAAGGAGAGAGGAGGCTACTCTTCGTGGAGTGCCTTTGTGGGCAAGAACAGGGGCTGCATGTGTGTGTTTACCCTGCATCTACTGGGTTAAAAACCTTTGAAAGAAATCCTATTGCCCTAGAAAAACTGCAGTTTTCACCATCATCGTTTAAGCCAGCGTACAGTCCTAAAAATTTGCCTTTTGTGGCTATATTGTTCTGCACTTATAAATGGCATACTGTTTTTGTCCTCTAAATACTAGTGGTAAAACATTAAATTAAATCAAAAATCGTTAATGGATTAATCATTTAAGTAATTAATGAAAAATTACATTAACTGACAAACATTAAGTGGTTCCAGCTTCTTATATGTGGTGATTTTCTGTTTTTCACTTTTTTATTGTCGTAAAGTGAAATTTGTATTCAATAATTCAATAGTTTAATCAATGATGAAAATAATTATAAGCTGCAGTATAGAACATATGTCACAGCATCTTAAATTGATTTGTGGGGTTAGTGTTGTTTTTCTTTACACCCCACTGAATTTGAGTGTGATATGCTATCTTGATGTATGATTCTTTTCTCCTCACTCTTTTCAAGTACCATAAACGATTGGATGACTTGGCACAACAGTGATGTTTTTTAGCATGGCTCCAAGGATGGCAATGTCTTTCTGTCTGTCTGTCTCTCGGTCAATCAGTCAGTCTCTGTCAGTCCCGTTTTGTCCAGACTGGATGGATTGTCATGATCCCAAAAGATGAAACACAATGATTCCGGTTTTAAGCATGCTAACAACTAAGATAGTGAACATTTAAATTGCGAGCATGTTAGCATACCGACTTTAGCATTTAGCTCAAACAAAGCTGTGTCTAAGTACAGCCTCACGGCCCTGAGCATAGCTGTAGACTTGTTTCTATATGTCAGTTTCAGTCCTTTATGCCTCTACCTCTCTTGTACAGTCACCGTCACCATGTTCTGCACGACCAAGAGGTGGACAAACGTATCTGTGTTCCCATGAACCACCTGTGGGCTAACCAGGCTCCTTACACTGTCTGCAACAGCTCCTTATCGGAGTATGGAGTGCTAGGTAAGACTGAAGCCACTCTGGCCACAGAGCATGCCATTTTGTAGCGCCGTGTAACAATGACTGTGACTTCAGGTTTTGAGCTTGGCTTTGCTATGGCCAGTCCGAATGCTCTGATCCTCTGGGAGGCGCAGTTTGGAGACTTTCACAACACAGCCCAGTGTATCATTGACCAGTTCATCAGCCCAGGCCAGGCCAAGTGGGTCCGCAACAATGGTATTGTCCTACTGCTACCGCATGGGATGGAGGGAATGGTGAGAACTGAAAATAAACCAGGCTATACTGCTTTGGAAAAAAGAATATGTAATTTTTTGGAATACGTGTTTATTCTTCTTCCATTTTGTCATTTAGTGTCTTGCTCTTCTTCTCTTCTGTCCTCAGGGCCCAGAACATTCATCAGCCCGACCTGAACGCTTCCTGCAAATGAGCAAAGATGATCCCGATCACTTCCCTGTATGTTCAAATGTAAAATTCACATTATGGCTCTAATGGTTACCCATTTGAGGAACATGATCATCTAATGATATATGCCAGAGAATCTCTAAGCTGCTACACAGTTTGCTGCAGTTAACATCCAACGGCTTCTTGTTTAATTGGCTATGCTGATGTCATGACCACTTAAGTAATTATTTAAGTGATGATTGCCGATTTCTCTAGAGCTGAAAAGTCTCTTCATTATGGCCTGCAAAGCGTTGGTATTCAGCAGTAACTCAGGTCCCATTGGTGATCTGGCACGGGGGAACATTCAAGGAGGGACCCCAGCGAGCTGTATCAGCAGAAGCTTACCAGATAAATCTTCAAATGGGATATTGATCAAACTATTAGTGGGAGCATAGTAAGGGATTAACATCCTTTGTGGTGTGTGTGTCTGTGTGTGTGTCTGTGAGAGAGAGATACAGTGATGCACTCGTGCGCTACTGTACATCTCCTACTTAATCACAAGAAAAAAACATTGCTGCAACCAACATTTGATCTGTAATGTTGTCTACATGTCTATGTTATCTATGTTTCTATTTTTATTAATTCCTTTTGTAAACTTTTTATTTATTTATTTTTTTTACAAAGGAGTTCTGTGGAGATTTTGAAGTCCAGCAGTTGTATGACTGTAACTGGATTGTGGTCAACTGCTCCACGCCTGCTAACTACTGTCATGTGATCAGACGGCAGATTCTGCTGCCATTCAGAAAACCGGTAAAGTGTAACATTGTTTGCGTAGATTATATTGAAGTCAAACATATAAGCCACTGCTTTCGACAAAGATAAATCCTGGCATACTAGAAAATGTTCAGATGGTCATTTGACAACACTCAGTGATGTTTAGTAGTTATGTGTAGAGTCTTAAAACTCTTATTCCCTGCTGAAAGTAAAAATGTTTTCTTTGGGTCATATCTGTCTTTGGGTCATATCTGTTATTAAAATTACATCAAAGACTCAAATATGAAAACCTAAGTGACACGAACTGCAGTTATGTCTCAGTGTGTTATTGCTTCATAATGACAGACCCTAACTCGTTTATATTGCAAATTTGGTTCTATATGTCTTTAATACTTCAAACCCCTAAAGTAGGACTAGTTTGAGTATAAAGTTTTGGTGTGTAAAGCATTTCTCCTTTTTTGAATATGCACATCTCTTTTTTCAGTCTCTCACAGTTTTTCAGCCACAGTGAATATCTTAACTGATCCCCTGTTGCAAATGAATGCAATGCTTCGCGGAGCATGAGAAAATTACTTCCTGAGCAAATTAGCGAGGGGGCCAACAGGGGATGGTATTGTTTGTTTTATATGAAAAACTCTGAAATTCTGGACTTGGTCGGCTGAGCACAAAGGGTTTTATTTATTTGTTAAAGAAATGTTTTGTTTTCCCAATGCTGCTGATGTGTGCTATATGGTGGCAACAAATTAGCGTGAAAAGACATAAAAACTTTTATCTCTGGAGTTTTTTCAAAGCACACAATGAAGATACGGATGATAGAATCAGTCTGTTGTTTGTCACTTTTCAGAAACTTTTTCCTTCTTTTCACAGCTGATCATTTTCACTCCAAAGTCTCTGCTGAGGCACCCGGATGCAAGGTCCAGTTTTGATGACCTCGCCAAAGGTGGTTTTACTTTTATTTTAAAATATGACCTATGAATGTTGGTGTACAGTGTTATGTAACATATCATATTCAATGCCTGCAGGCACTACATTCAAGAGGTTGATTCCAGATGAGAGTCCTGCGAGTCAAAACCCAGCCCAAGTGAAGAGGGTGATCTTCTGCACTGGCAAAGTGTACTATGAACTGGCTAAAGAGAGGAAACAGCTAAATTTGGAGAAAGACATCGCCATCATCCGACTTGAACAGGTGTTTAATCCCTCTCGTCTGTCTGAGCATATCATGTACTGTGTATCATTCACACTGTGATGCAATTTTGTCACTTTTTCTTCTACGTATTTTTTGGCTTCTCCCTCAGATTTCTCCATTCCCGTTTGATCTGGTCAGAGCAGAGTCAGAGAAGTATGCCAACGCTGAGCTGGTCTGGTGTCAGGAGGAACACAAGAACATGGGCTACTATGATTATGTCCGGCCACGTTTTCTCACAGTGGTGGCTAACAAGAAAGCCATTTGGTAAGGGTTTCCACTCACTTGTAGCCTGATATGTACATGACAGAGGTAAACCCAGTCATCAGGTAAGGGATTTGAACTCCTGTCACTGGTGACAAACCTTCAGTGTCTCTTTCAGGTATGTGGGACGGGATCCTGCAGCTGCTCCTGCAACAGGGAACAAGTCCACCCACCTCAATGAGCTGAAGAAGTTCATGGACACAGCTTTCAACCTGAGCGCCTTCCAGGGGAAGGACTTGTAATTGAGAACTGGAACAAGAACCAGGCAGGAGGTGTAGTTTCATCTCCAACAACTGTAGTCTATTTATTAAGTCTTGATTGCACTTTTAGCTTTGTGACAATCTGGAGCATAGCCTCGTGTTTTTAGAAAAAATTATTTCAACTTCTGGTTATCATTTGTGAAAGTTCAGTCTGCAGCGCTAACTGCGGGTCCTCTTACATGGAAGTCGCCATGTTGCGCCGCCATATTTCTACAGTAGCCCAAACGGACAAACGGCTATTCAGAGCGCTTTTCGTCACCATGTTGAATACTTACAAAGAAGAAGTAGTAGTAGTAGTAGTACTTGTAGTAGTAATAGCAGTAGTACTCTGTTTAATTAGAAGTAAGAAGAGACGTGAAATTTGGACAGAGGACCACACGTATTGTTTAGCGCAAGAGCCGACAGAGCGTGTCAGCCACCATAGTTTCTCCTGCGCTCTTGCAAAGGGAGGGCTGAGCCGTGGTTAAGCCATTGGTTGCAAGTTGCAACCCTCACCAATAGATGCCACTAAAACTTACACACTGAACCTTTAAGTGATCATTATTCTATTGTGACTCCCATGCATAGAATCCCCACCAATGTGAGAAGCATCATTAAGCACAACTAGGCGAGAGAAGGCTAAACAACTTTGGACAGTCTTTCCAGGGCCTCATGTTTTAAATGCAGAATGAATTATCTTTCACTGTGACACGTTACGCAGGATAGAATAGAATTGTTGTGCATTGTTGTTCCCTGGCAATGCCCTATGTCAAGTGAAAGAGGTAACTTTTATTTATATAGCCCCAAATCACCCAGTTTCCCTTTATCCTTAGAACCTTGATTTGTATGAGGAAAACCTCCCCCAAAAACACGGACCAACATCATGTAGTCTCATAACAGCTTTACTGGAAGAATCTGCACTTTATTAAATCAACACTAATTAGCACAGGGCTTTTATGGAATAACTACAGTGTATGTATACACCTCAATGTCTTGTCTAAAGAGAAGTGGTTAAGTAGCAATAGTACACTCTTTGTATCTTTAATAACGTTCACACACCAAATTTCAGATATGTGACAATCTTTGTTATTGGAGTAGCTTTAGTACTGTAGATGCCTCCATTGCTGCCATGCTTAATACTAGGATATATTAGTTGTATTTGTATTGTTTATTTCTTTTTTTTAGATTATGGATGGATGAATAGTAGAAGCTATGAGACGCACACAAACCACCAACTGGTGTACTTACACAGTGAATGCAAATCACATATCACAGGTATGAAGACTGTTATGAAATTGAACACATCAGTAGGTTTAGTGCCTGCATTTGCTTTGGCTACCTTTGCTGTTAGTGAAGCAGTCTGTATTTATTGTCACACCTCACTTCACCAGGAGACATGAGCCAGCTGGCACAGAGACTTGCAGCCATGTTTTCTACTTAGGACATAAGGCTCAGCTTCTTCTTCGAAGGCTGAGGGATGTACACTGCACACATACACATAAACAAAGCAAAGCATTTAGATGCTTTGAGAGCAATATTGACGCTGGTTGTCACATTAAAATCCCCAGGTATTTAACAGAATTGATATTAGTTACCACTGTGATTAGAAATGCTCCATAAAACTGTGCTTCCTGTTTGGTTATACTGTAGCTTACTGTTTCCACTTCCAGCTGGGAGATTTAACCATTAGCCATGCATAAACCTTTACATATTTAACGATTTAAAAAAGGTTTAATATGCCCACATATTAGTGTGGGTATTGAAACATGCACAACTTGATAGAGCTTACACTGGGAATAATAAAATATGCAATAAAATATATGTAAGTTTATTAACATGCTTTTGTCATGATTTTTGGTGGTAGATGATGTTTGACAATGTAAAAAGTATATGGTGTAAAGTGAGACTGTGAGGAAAAAACACATTCTTCCTTTTACAAATGAAAAGTTGAAATTGTAAGCAGTAATATTTACCCTTCATTTCAAGACACAAAGTTTTGCTGTTACGGACTAACTCTGAACTCTGGTGTGACTAGTAACTTATGGTGGCTAAATGTTAGCCAAACTGTTTGCAAACTTGGGAAAGATAATGCTGTGTAGCTGACATTAGAGTCAGTGCTACTGTTATAAATACTACTGAGCAGGTGGTTTCATTTACTGTTTTTCCATACTTGTTACTTGTGGCCACAGTGGCCGTTCACCTGAGAAAAAGTTCCTATACAGTCTTGCTTTAATGAAACAAATACTAGGTGAAATACTCATAGCCTTAAAGGGGCACCAGGGTTAAACTTGGCTGTCGGGCCCCTATTGACCTCCAACTCCACATCTATCACCCACTGTTCACCATTTGTGTACCCTGTCTCTCCCAACTTCTCATTAAGTAACGTGCAGACAGCGGACTATATGTCAGATTCATAATTTGCCTAGAGACCCAGAAATCAACCCATAAACCTACTACCATTTTTTTTTTCTTTGTGTCAGTTAGAGTGTGTTAATTAAACATAATTTAGGAATAAACATAACCCTGGAATATGCTCCATGTGAACCTAATGAAAACAAAAATGATAAATGTCTTAAAAACCATATTTTGACACAGGCACCCTCTTAAAAAAGACTGGATGACAAGATTAATAATGCAGGTCCCAGCTTAGTTGAAATTGTCCTCTAATGATGCAAATCTCTTACAAATCTGCACTTAATCAAATTACTAACATGCAGTGTATGTGCGAATTTGGGGGGGGGGGGGGGGGGGCATGCAGTATCACATATGAATCCATGCAGCAATCAATACCTGCATTTATTCACAAAGTAATTGTACTCTTACTAGACTGAGTTGTTGAATAAGAAAAAAGCAAATATGCACATTGGTGTTTTATATTTTTTAATTTAAAATCTAAATGGTTATCTTCAGTAAGCGTTCTCCACAGCAGTTACAGCTTCTTTGCAAACAGGGTCCAGTTCTCCATCTCCACCTTCGGGGAAAAAGCACAGCGCGGGTTGCCAGAACGCTCAGCGCTTTGACATCACAGTGTCCGCTATCCGTCCTAACCAAACTCACCAAACTGCAGCTGCTTTATATTACAGCTGAAGACGATCTCCCCGTTGACAGCGAGCTCCACCATGTTCCAATCGCTCGTTTCTTCCAAGACGCTGTGGTGTCCGCGCGCTCTCAAAGCGGCTGCCGACATATTGGATGGACAATGTTTGACCTCACCTAAAACATTCAAGAAAACAGACAACAAGCAGGTATCCTAATTAGACTCTGATGCGGAGAGAAACATACCCTGGAGACCCTGCAGGCGGCGGGACCTGTGTTTGACGACCCCGTTGGATTCATAAGGTCCGCTGCAAATTGTCACTCGCGCGTTTCTCGGCATTGTTTGTTGTGATCACCTGGGTAACTGTAACACAATGCACGCGGACTCCTTTCCCAAAATGTGTGCAGGATTCCCTATTCAGCATTAGGCTGTTAATGCTTTAGACACACTAAATTACAATATGAGAACCACAAAATTCTGATTGTAGCCTACTTTTATAGTAGTATGATAGTATGAGTAAAATGCTAATTCCACTTTATGAAAATTACTTTCAAGGAACTTTATTACTTTTCCTTAGGTCTTAATAACTAACCTTACTATGTCATAATTATATAATATAATTATATTTTGGGGCATGTGGGTGGGGAACAGGGAGCGTAGTGCAGGCTATGTCCAGCTATGGATGAGTAGTGGAATGAAAGGGAAGAACGTTGTTTGTAATTTTTCTTAAATTTATGGATGCAACGTTTTTTAATAATGTGTTTTGTATAGGCTATAGTCTCAGTTTTCCTTAAAATACATATTCTGGTTCCACATAGCAACATGGTCAATACATTCAGAGCAATTCTGACATGTTCAGATGCTTCAGTACCTGTAATGTGCACTAAGTGGATGTGTGTGCAAGGTGACATTTTTCATAAACCACAATCAGGGGAGATTTTTTTAAACTTTAACATTATATTGATATGCATCTATTCAGTAAAATGAACACAAGTCTTTATTTGATTTTGTTTTCTTTTAATCTTCAACAGGACTTCATAAATACAACACTTGGACAGTCATAAACACAGAGATCACTTCTGGTTAGTAAGTTTCATACTTTTCAAACTTGCATTTACACCCTGTAACAGTAGGCTATATCATACAAAAATAAATAACTTAATTGATATATTCTTCTCATAAATTTACAAATGCACAGTTTTCATCACACTTAACATTCTTTGATAGACTAATGATCCCTTGATCACTTGCTTTTTGTTTCTTGTGTGCACAAGCACAACACAAGTCTCAGTATACAGAATACAGTACAGTATGAACTCACATCTAATGATTTTATAAAATAATACATTTTTCAACAGACATTTTAGTAATATGACATCTATTGTTGGTACGATAGACAGCCATTTACAAAGACAACACAAACAGATATTGCATAGAAGATTCTAGTTTTACAATTGTACCATAATCTTCAGAAAATCATTAGATAGTAGCATGCGATTTGCAAGTTGACATACGATGACACAATCAACCATTTATCATAACTCACAGACTACTTTTGCTCCATCAAACTAACTGACAGGCTTCACGGACAAAATGATGCAGACATGGAAAAAGGAGAGTGAATTCTGAGTGCTAGACTCTCTTTTCTGTAATTTTTATGTTTCCCACCAACCGTATCAGTAGCACTGGTTGTCAACAGCAATAAAAATACTCTATTCTTTGGCTAATTCATCTCAATTTAGTGCAAAACAACAATCAAAAGCACAAGTTTATTTTACGTACGGACAGTAGCCACTTTGACATACATTTGAATTACATCATCAGCAGCACCTAATACACTTAACAATACAATTAACAACAAAACAGCTTTACATTTTGTTTTACAGTTTATGTATATTTGTGAATGACTTGAGAAATACGTTGTTGCAGCACAAAAAACACACATTTAAACTCACACCACCACTATTTTGAATGGCACTGACAGTTTCCTATGATTGACTTCCATTCTTTAAAGCTTGTGCCTCTCCCTGTGATGGAGTCTTGGTATGAGCCTCTACTTTAGTCTGGTCCGGTGTCTCCAGCAGAACCTGTGGCAGTGGTTGCTGATTCTTGGTCAGGTCAGCTGGTCTCTGCTGCGGTGTTTTGTTTTGCCAGTTTGTGTCTGTTTGCGTGTGCGTCTCCAGCGTCTGACCCCGTCTTTGCTCGGTCGGATTGGAGCTGGAGTTACATTTATTGCACAGATCCCTCATGTCCAGGAGTCCACGCACCAGACACTTGACAAATTCTGCTGAACATGTCTGCAGGCTCTCGTGGAAACTGGACACAGAGAAGATAATGTGCTCTGACTGAGGGTTGTAGCATGCTCCATAGCCATTTGGAACCACAGGTCCGTAGCAGCAGAACATCTCAACAGTAGTAGGGACCTGAGGGAAGAGTGGAATCCTTCAGTACTGAACACTGTCCGTTTTATTAGGTGTGTGTTGTAAAGTTTGTTGTCTGCCAGTTATATAAAGAAAACCTAAATTGCAGTTATAACTAACTGGCATTTTATCAAAAAAAAATCTCTATCTCTCTAGTGTCACCTCTGGTGAAACAGCACAGGTATGTGCTTGCAGATTTAGTATTGCACTTTCATAAATTTGGGTAATTCAGAAGAGACAGAAAAGAATTATCAAAAATAAACCAGCTGAGGCTGAGATATCCTGACTTTTGTCTCTAGTATGGGTCAAGCTCCAAAAATGCTGGATTCTGTAGTGTCTTTCATTTAAAGCTGCAACAATTAATCGATTGGTCGATTGAAAACAAAATGAATGTGCAACTTTTAGATAATATAGATAATAAATTGATCATTTAAATCATTTTTCAGGCAAAAATGCAAAAAATCTGATGGTTCCAGGTTCTCAAATGTGAGGATTTAAAGTGTTTCTTGTTCTTATGTTATAATATATTAAATATTTTGGAGTTTTGGACTGTTGGTCCGACAAAGCAAGACATTGGATGACATCACCTTGTGTTTTAGGATATTGTGATCGTCAGTTTTCATTGTTTTCTGATATTTTACAGAACAAACAATGAATCAATCAATTGAGAATGTAATCTGCAGATTAATCTATAACAACAATAATCATTAGTTGCAGCGCTACTTTCATTAGAACCATCTTGGCTCCTAAACGCGTACTTCTCTTAAACCCCACTCCTCCCGTTTGTGGCTTAGGCTTTTTTGTTAAAAATGTTAATTCTCAGACAAAAGCTGAGAATACCGAAGACTGAGCGGTACTCCATGTTAAACTGAACTTCATAGATTTGTGGAGTGTCCCTTTCTAAAACATTTTTGATTAAGTATAGCTACAGCTTAATGTTCTAAATTCATAAGACCATACCTGGCTTGTAGAGAGAATGAACTGATTACTGATGAGATGGGCTTCGTCTTTGAATATTTCTGGCTTCTCCAACTTCAGTTCATGTGCAATTTCACGAAGTCCCAGTAAGTGATTGTCTATTGCCTTCCCTGTAATAGCCTGAAAAGGAGAATTAATGCATATTGTAGGCTAATTGTATTTTACTTGTACTTTTTGCAATAGAAATCTGGATGAGATTAGAGAATATTTACCAGAATAGTATAATTTGTCTGTGCAGTTATGGCATCTCGTAACAGCTCCATCTTTTCTGTATCCTGGAGAAACAAACAACTGAGAATCAATGCTAGACTATTAAATACCTTTATTTACAGTAAGCAGTTTTTCAGGGTGGAGCACATCAAGTACAGTCTACTACATCATGAAGTACAAAATCGAATGACATCATTATATTACATTTCATCACATCATTCAAACTGAGTTTTTACTCTGTAACAGCAGTCATTTAAATTAGACAGTATGACTGTAACATCCCAATCATCTTACGCCTGTGCTTAGTTCCCCATCAGTCATTGCTTTTGCAAAGGCCATGGCTTCTGGTGTGGCAGAGCGGATGTTGTCCACTCTGCCTTCCTGAAAACGCCGTATAGAAGCGCTCTCATACGTCGACACTGTTCTGCCGTGACATCTAGAGTAACACACAAAGAGAAAGCCTTGTAGCTTGGAGCCCCGGGTTAAAGTGACATGTCAGAATCCTGATATATATTTATCTTTTTCTTACCGGTAGTAGGCTAACTGAAGAGCAACCTGGATGTAGGCATCTGGACTCATTTTCTGCTTTTTGATAAACTCTTTCCCGTAATCGTGGAATTTGTGGACATTCATGTCCAGATTTTTCACCAGCCTGAGCAGATAAGAATGAATCCTGCTATGAGCTGAAAGCATGTATTCATTTGTTTGAGTATACAGAAACCAGAGAAGAGCCAGACCTCTGTAGTTTGTCAGCGGAAGAGGCAAGGAGTTTGTGAATCTCTGGAGTACATTTCCAGCGGAGTCTGCGTGGTGCATGCAGCTCGCTCACACTTGCAGCCCTCACCAGCTTTGATGGGCTGCCAATCCTGATATCACATGGGAATATAATATAATTAAAAAATATATTTTTAAGTATAATCTTATTTGGATTTTCTGAGAATATGCCGCTAAATAGCACACACCTATGTTGCATTATTTCTTACATGTATTTGAGTAGATACTCTGTACACTGCACTAGTACAATTCCTTCAAATGGTGAGTGTTCACACACGACTCCGCAGCAGCCATCAGCTCCTACGACAAACTGACAGTAATGTATATTTTCAGTGCCATTTTCTTGAGTTAAACCAAACTGCAATGATAGATTAAAGTTACATGAAAGTTACATCAAACATGTAATTCAATGGGAACACCCAGCTTCCATCAGAATTTCTTTAAATGTAAATTCTTAACTTTACATTACATCCAGATGTGATGTCCTCAGTAATTAAGGCGGTAACTCAACCCTACTGTATAACATCCATGCTTCATCTACATTCCTTTTGTCCTCACCTCCTTCTTTCTTCTTTTCTTCAATAACAATGGTTTAACCAGTGAGATTCACAGTGTGCAACAAGTCAAGAAGGCGCACATTAAAGTAGCCTTAATAGCCAAATGTGCTCACTAACCTGCATCGGCTTGTCATACCAGCGGTTGCCCCCATTCTTGGCCACTCCTCCGCCGTGCAGCATCAGCATGGCACGTGTGGTGTCACTTAGCTCAGGCCCAGTGGCGTCATCAAGACAGACCAGACACAGACAACGCTCGATCATGTCCAGAGAGTCCCTGTTAGTAGACTCTAGAGGATAATACGTTAAAATAAGTCAATTATGTGGGACAAATACACTGAGATCCACTGGACTTAAAAACTATTCAAAGACCTACCTCTCATTAGCACACTACGAGCCTCGGCCCACTCTGTCCGTCCATCTGAAGTGAGAAGACCAATAGGTGGGAGCCGCTCTTCTTCGCTGCCAGCCATCCTGGCGATCTTCTCCAGCTGAGTCAGCAGGTCTCTTTCATTCAGTCGGCGGAAGTTGATCACCACATCCAGCACAAAGAACTGGACAGGGGTTCAGATCAGACATAGGCTGTTTCAATGCACTTGTCCCTGATGTTTTAGCTGGGAATCTATACTGCAGGCTGAAGCACATAGGATAATTGTTTTCCTTAAGACATGAACACATGGGGACATCTGGTAGGGTGTCCATGCTGAAGGGCAACAGAGGATTAAAGGAATCTATCAGGTATGATAACATCATATTTACTGAAGTGATGGCTGGGATTTGAAAATTAGGCAACATTGCTACAACAAAGTCCCAACTGGGAAAGTAACATGAAAGATCAATGTACAATAAGACATGTTGTAAAAAAGCCTGCAGTATAGCCAGATTATCTATTCTTATCTATTCCTTTATTTGCAGGTCAAACTACAGGTTACCAAAACCAAAATATCTGTAATAATCCCTCACTGCATTGGAAAACAGTGTGTGACTAAACCAGGCTATTGGCCTGTAGACTGTGGTGGATGTTTACTACAGGTTGTTTAGGTTAGTTTTCATTGTTCACTGTTCAATGTTTACCAGTGTTTTCTCTTCCAAATATGTTTGGTTATTGGTTTTTAATCATTATCTAGCTGCTTATGCCTTGTTGGACTTGTAGCTAAGCATCCTGGATATTCAGCAATGTCACAATGTTCACAGCTCTCTGCAATTAACTTATTAGGGTTAGGAATGCTGTCCAAGACTAACAACATAAAATAAGAGTTGTCATAAAAAAAATAGATAAAGATTGAACACTAAAGTTTCCATTGGAACTATTTCAATATTTTTCAATCTGTGATAGATGGGTTCTTTAATCTGGAAAGCTAAACTAAATTGAGATAAATCTGAATCTGATGTTTTTATCTTCATATTCAGCAATTATTGCAAGTGGGAACAACTGACGTTACTTCTTATGGGATCATCACAAGTGTTTCAGTTATCTGAATGCTTATTTGAGCACATTTTCTGTGGAGTTGCAACACAGTGGCATGCTGAAAGCTGCTGGCTGATAATTAACTTAACAGAGAGCAGTTGTCGGTGGGCTGTGGCTGTTAATCACTCATTGGGAGATAAGTGAGTATAGTGTCCACAGAGCCTGTTTACAATATCATCAGTCGCAAGTGATGATCCATATGTTCTTCTGTGACAGGGACACAATGTATAGTCTAATTCTCACTCTAAGTAAGTGAAACTCGCTGTAGACATTGTTTTTTGTTCTCTGGTTGTTGTGAGGTCACCTGAGGTGATTAATCCATGGCATATTTAGGACCTAATCTGTATTAGATCATACGTTAGGGATGAAAGTTCATTCTTGACCTTCAGATTAAAGACAGCATGTCAGATGGTTGAAACCTAGGGAAAAAGTAAATGGACCTTGAGTTGAGGTTGATTGTCAAACTACTGTTTTCAAAGTCAAGAATGAATTTTTATGCTTATAAGCCATCACAATTGAGAGGTCCTGAAAGCGCTGAGCTCACACATCAACTGATCCATCTCCAACTGGAGACTTTGAAACTTGAGAAATTGGACCTTGGTATTGTTTTGTCAAACAAGTCCATGACAACTTTGGGTTTCTTTTTCACTGTGTCTGACCTGGTTTTTACAAGCCACAATGATGTGTTCAGGTTCTGGCATCACGCTACTCTCCTGGGCCACTAGTGTGTCCCTCTCAGGCCCCGGTAGACGGTAGGAAGAGAAGAGGCGATAGTATTGCTCCATACATAGAGGAGTTCCAGCCAGCTGGCCCCGGGCGTAGTCCACGGGCAGTGCACGTCTACACACAGACACGCGACTTTGTCAGGCCTTTTACTTACACATAGAAAATAATTCTATTGTGACTGAATCTCTCAAGTTCATTAATACTCTCATTGTGACTTACGCATCAAGGAGAGTCTTGTACTCCAAAACTCCAGAAATTAAGTGTGCAGCAAACCTAGAAAAGAAAAAATTCCCATTGTAAAATAGTTCCCAAAAAAGAAACACACACGTTGTACACGTTGTTGTCGCTCCTTTGCACACTCACTGAGCCTGCATGGGATAATGATTGCCGCTCTTAGCCATGTTCTTGTGTAAAGCATTACACTTAACAATGCAAATGCTATATGTAAATCATCTGGTTAAGGAGCCAGTCCCAGATCAATACCCTGTCAACCAAACCACAGCCTTCATTGTCTATCAACCTTGCCACCTGTAGCGTGGCCTGGCCTCTCAGCCCTCAAGGTGTTCTGGATAATGACCCTATCTGTCAATGTGTAGCAACGAAGTGTTCAATTTGCTATAATCTATTAAAGCCAGTCTGTGAGTTATTTATACAGTTCACTATCATTTCTCAAGTCTTCCTGCACTAATGAAATATCGCCTGTCAAGTGGTAACTTGATGTATGGCAATCACAGCTTGTTCTTTTACATTAGAGGATGGCTTACAAGGGACAGTGCTACTGCATGACAATATATTGGTTTGTCTTGTCTTATTGTATCACAGCGTGAGGTTTCTCTCATGACTCACTTTTCTTGCTTGTGCACTGTCTAATACCTTAGAGAGTCGATGGGAGCCCTAAAGTTCTGCTTAGGGAAGACCATCACAGGACTGGAGTTGACGGGCAGAGCCAGTCTGTTGTTCAGGTACATGTCATTCAGCCAGTATTCATACACCTGCAGTAGGAAATAGAGGAATTTTTTTAAAGGCACAATCTATTGGTAATTGTGATCTAATAGTGAACAAAGGAGGAGCACCAACACAAGCAAAGAAAACACAATGTTGAATGTGGCTATCGGTTTGAAATTGATTGATAAGTCTACACAGACTGAGTCTTACAGACTTAAGTCTGTAAATGTTTTCCAATACTGTGAAAGGTTTGTTTACATCGGTAATGCAGTAATGGTACATTTAATATATATATAAAAATGTCAGAGGTTTGCCCTTTAAAACTGTGTATTTTTACCACAGCATTATTTACTGAAGAATTTATCTTAACTTTAAAGTTTTAGGTTTTAATAATTAATCATAGTCCTTAGTGTTGCTAGCTGACACCTTGTTTTTGGATTTGCACACCATCTGTTTACCCAGTTTGCCTTGTTCTCCCTCCTCTCCATGAGTTTGCTCTGTAGTAGCTCCCCCACTCCTCCAGGGGCTCCAAACTGCTTCACTATATTTTGAGTCTTGTTGAACTGCTCCTCTGTGAGCAGGTGCTTCATACACCGCAGGTACATGTCCAGTGTGTCTTTCAGGGCGGGGAGCGGCAGCTTTGGAAGACCCTGAACAGCGTCGGGGATAACAAATCATCAAAAATGTTTCTAAATTTGTGACTGTGCATCAACATGTGAAAACTTGCCAGTCTCCTCTAACACACAAGCAGTATGAGTTTATCAAGAAAATGCTTTAAATAAATAACAATTACTGAGAACAACTTCAAACTTGTAGATTATTAACTTCACTTGACTCAGAATAAGGAAATATTTAATTAAAATGTCACAGTATAGTAATCTATTCTTAAAAATCATGGATACTTTTTTAAAAGTCGATTTCATTACTGAATCTTAATATTCTTTACATACAAAAATTTTGGCGGTCCTAATTGATAAAACAGTTTTTCTCTCATGCATATTCCTGTAAAACAGATGTAGAAATAAGTCAGATATAAGATATTTACATCTCCGCCCCCTATGGAGGGCTCCTCGTCCAGAACTGGCATGTTGGCGGTGCAGAGCAGGAGCCAAGTATGCTGATTTCCTCTGAGACCGAGTCTGTGTCCACAAATAAAATGATCTCAGGATCAAGTTCCGACAAATGAGTGCGATTTAAAACTGAAAGTTAAAACAGTCAGTCAATCTGTAGTTGTCTTTAAATGTAACACAACTGTGGGGATATTTACAACAAATGTACAGTGCTACTCAATAAATAAAGCATAGGCTATCTACTAAGAAAATACAAGAATGCGCACCTTGGGAGATGTTCACTTGCGGCATCATTTTCAAAATTGTTTCGAAAACCTGCGCATTTGATGTCAGCATGCGATCATGAATAACACTAATAAATGCACGAAATTTAAATTTAAATTAATCATTACATAAAAATGAAATGTTTTACTCACCAGAAAGAAAAAACACAATCCCACTTGTCCCGGGGCTCAAGCACTGAGTTTAGGTTTATCCATCTAGACTTTAGTCCATTTCTGGCAAAATTTCTTTTAAATTTCACAACTATGATCCTTCATCATTTTGAGCATCTTTAAATCCCCAGCATGACAAGAGCACACAACTCCTTCGCTGGCTCAGGAGAGATGCTGAGAGTGATACCTCACCCTCCTGGCAGCCAGGCTCCTCCCAGAAGTCCTGCTATTCGCCAAGAAGTTTATTTGGCAATTCACATCCTCGCCCCACCTTATTTAGACAACGTCTGAACGGCCTAAGGTGCTCACAGAAGAACAATTAGGATGTGTTTAGCATGGACTTCTTCCCTTGGCTTTTTGAATTTTCAACACTTTTCGTCAGCAATTTGGGCGAATGCATTGCTTCCACCTCACTGCATCTGACTGGTTTAATTGGCGTTGTGTATTGAATATTACATGCAAAGATTTGCATTTTGGACAAGCGTAGATGCCCTGACAAACTGCTGATTTTCCACACAGTATTAACGTCAGGATCCTATATAAAACTATTATTATATTTTGTTCCCTAACTGTTTTTAATTCAGATAATTACCTTTTCTATATTGGCTGTTTTATAGTACTAGTAAGAAGCACAAAACTTCCTCAGTTTAGGCTTAATAACTTTGATATTCGATTGTTCAATTAATGCTTATTCAAAGGGAAAATCCAGGAATGTGTATAAGTGAAAAACGTTTTCTAAATATAACCATAATTTTAAAAGCAACATCGTGTCATCATTATGATTCTATTAGTATGGATTCCTTCACTTGTAGAGGAAGTAACAATTGTCTTATGCAGAAATAAATAATTTCATTAATTGCCTAAATTAAAAAAACATAAACATTATCATTCACATAATATTGATTTAATTATGTACATGAATATACATGTATGTACAGTGCAGATTATACAACGAGGCTATGCATTCCAGGAGTACATCATCCAAAATAAACAAAATAAACAGACATCAAGAAGTAGATTTCCGTTCATGTCCATCTGTTTTATCTTTCTAAAACTGACGTGTGACATATTGCATATTGAGTTTAGCAGCACAACTCTGGCAAAATAAATACAGTTTACATTGAAAGACGCAGATACATTACAGTTTTGTTTAAAATACATTTACACATAATCCCTGAATACGATATGAGTCAGTTTTTGATACAGTGATACATACTGTTAATGAATAGACATTTATGTCAACAAATCGTTCACAATACTCCTACTTTAAGATGAACAAACGCCAGCGAGCGCCTTTCTACTGCAAAAGCTTGAAGCTACTTGATTTGACAATACCCGGGGGAAATTGTCACCAGAAGCAGGAAAATGATTTATGTTGTTACACAATCCTAATCGTGTTATGCAATTGATTTGATCGGATGGGATGCACACAGCTCTACATGGGCACTTTGATAGTTTCACTCAGTTAAAGGTATTTTACGCATACTCTCCTCCTGAGGATTCCTCCTCTGAATACGACCGTTGCGCAAAGGTTTCAGTGCCGTTCTCGTCGATCGTTGTGCACAACCCCTTTCTCTTCTTCTCTCGTTGCTCCATCTTAATCGTATCATACAGTCCCGTTGGGCCATCCTCCAGGAGCATATTTCGCTCGGAGAAAGAAGGTTTCATCTTTGTCACGTTCTTCAGCAGAAGGAGCGCCGGTGCGTAAAGTACATTGGCGAGGCCCATGCCCAAGTTGAGCTGAACAAAGCCCAGGTCGTGCACTATCTGTCCTGCCACCACCGGCCCCAGGGCATAGGCCACGCAGTAAGAGATGTCTGCAATGGCGTACACACTTCCATACACCGACACATGTCGCACATCCACTAGGAAACCCAGTGTCGGCAGGAGCGCCGTGTCCACGAAGGCGATGCCAAAACAGATTCCGCACAGAGGGATCATGAGCTGTCCAAAGTTTTTACAGGCTGGCACTGTGCAGGAGCTTGCGCCTATGAACACCATACCTATAGCCCCGTAAAACCACTGGAGATGTGGGTACTTGGCTGCTAATTTGACAGTGAGATATACACCTAAGACATGAGGGAAGAAGGCAGGGAACCACGTCATACCGATCTCCCACTGACTGGCGTGCATGTTCTCCTCCATCCAGGTGGCAATTGTGGGCTCCAGGAAGGCTAGAGGGATGTTACAAATTGTCAGAGCACCAGCCACTACAGCAATATATGGATCAATCATCAGTTTATAGATGGGGGTTCCCACTGGCATGTTTTCTCTCTCTCGATTAGAGAAAGGTTTCAGCACAATCAGGCACATTATGCCATCGATGAGACAGATCGAGGCCAGAATCAGGAAAGGCACCCGCTTCCCTGCGAACTGATAGAGGACACCTCCGAAGGGGGGCGCCACAAGACTTCCAAAAGAAATGAAAGCCAAGGCAATACCCAGCGCTTTGCTCCTCTCTTTCTCCTCTTGGTACTTGTCTGCGATCAGAGCTATCCCCGAAGTGTCCGCGAAAGCCGAGCCGAGGCCCTGCATGCTGCGCGCCAGGAACAGAGTCGCGTAGTTATCTGCGAAGGCAAAAATAATGGTGGAGAGAAACATGACATTGAGACCGATGAAGAGTGGAATGTCGTACCCGACTCTGTCTATAAATGTTCCACTTAAGGGGTTCACTAGGAGCTGCAGGATGGCCTTGGAGGCAAAAAGAACACCAATCTGTAGGTCGAAGTTCCCCTTGGGTACTTGGGTGCTGTTAGTGGAGTTGATGTGTGGTGCAGCAGCTTGGGCAAGATCCGCTGCATTCTGTAGCCCTTCAAGGTAATCGGGTATAATTGGCACAATTACCATGTAAAGCATGTTGTCTAACAAAAGTACTACACAGACTATTACTAGAATAATCCGTTTCTGGCGAACTGGGTCTTGGATTACATTGCCCAGTTGTTTAGTTCTTTCGCCCATCTTGGACAGTTTGGAGGCGGCAGATTGCGCTAAATTATTGGCTTGTCCCTCTGTGGTCCCCTCCGACTCCATAATTTTCTCCCTTTCTGGCTCTGGTCTTGTCTTTTGAAAAAGAAAATCGGCTCCCCAAGTTGATTTGTTTACAGAATTACGCACGCTTGGTACATCTGTTCTGTCTTTGATTTCGTTTTCTTATCCAACACCGGGAGCCCTGCTAATGAGCTAGATAACTTTCCTCTGCTTTACCTCTTCCCTGTCCCTTGCGCCGTCCGTCATCGCACGCACTTTTCCACTCCCGTGACTTGGACTCGTTTTATCCCCGTCGTCCCTAGTTGCTTCATTGTCTCATATCCCGTCATTCAGGTGACGCGCTGGTCCCGGACTGCAGTTACAGGTTGGGGATTCACCTACAGCTCACAGTGCCGGCTCCATTGGCGCACTAGCTGTTTTAGATTCGTCTGCTGCGCGCTTCCGGCTCCCAAACGCTCCCAGCTGTCTCCAGTCACCTGTAACGCTGTGAGCTAAGTCATCATTTCACATCAGCCGGACTGGTTTTTGTCGGCCGTGGAAAGAATACACACTGCAGTTTGTTGACTCCCATAGGTGTCCCCCTTCCCCCTCCCATCTTCGCCGATGGCTGTGACGCACGGTCCTGCTGCTCTCCAGAAGATCTTTTATGCTAATTAATACAAAATCCCTAGTGCGCACTGCTGTCCGGTCAGTTGCTTCAAGGCAGAGCCGAGGATGCATAATGCTGCCAGATGATGTAATTTTTAACCTCCTCAATTTGAAACTACACTTATCTGCAATTTGATTATTTAAGTCAATCGCTAAAACTATGCGCACGTTTAGCGTTTGACTTAACGTGGGGTTAATAACTTAGGGGAACCTGTGAGTTATTCAGCTTGAGCTCAGAATCATCACTGCCACAAACAAAACAGAACAAAACTAAAATCCACACAGATTTCCGCCTTACTGGATAAGAAGATTCAGCACCACACTCCAGTGGACAGCTCCACAGAAGATGTCACTAATAGGAGGTGAAAGCGATGAAAATTAAATTCACCAACATTTTCGGTCTAATAGAAACCTACCAACCACCTCACCTCATTATGTTCTTAAAAGCAAGATGTTGGTGGTGCTTCTCGGACAACAGGGGTCCGAGGTGACTTTAGGTTCAAGCCCCCACATCCAAACTGCATCCACTACTGCGTGTTTGTGTGAAAGTGTGCTTAAAAGAGAAACATCTTACCGCAGTCAATCTTCACGATCGGTATTAAAATTATCATCTATATTTCCATATATTATTGGCCTATTATTGACTTCCTTTTCTTTCAAAATGTACTGAACATTTTGTCTCTTTTTTTAAACAAATATAGCTTTTAAAATCTCGCTAACGTTTAGACGTCCACGCTGGATACACATTGTTGCAGTAAAAATCTAGAACTCTACAAGTCTACTACTTTCGTATTTCAAGAAAGGTTCAAGAGATCGTATTTGTTCTGCTTTCAGTCGACATGAGACAAGTGAACATGGAATTTAAATAAAGCTGGACGCTGCCATCTACCGGCGTAGAAATGCTTCTGCAGCTGTCACCAACATTTACCGTTCTCGGCGAAAGCACTCTGCTAATGGAAATAATTTGATTTCAAATGCAAATCAACGTCTTAAGAGAAGTTTCTTGAATCACTTATCAAATTGCAGTCAGCTTTCTTTAGATACGTTCTTTCAAGGTATTGATTAAGACATGGTCTCCCTCCATGGGAAGCGTTTTCTACTGTTGTCTCTGTTTTGTTGTCAGCCTTTGCAGCAGACTACAGACTGATTAGCTCTGAAACATAAGACAGAGCAGTATTGACATCTAGTGGAGGAAAAATTAATTGGTTCAAAGTACATTTGAAGCCCGAAAAGTGGACCCTACCAGAACACAGATGTGCGTGTTGACATCTTAAGTTTCAGTCATGTTGATTATTAACAGTCATATTTTCCCTGTTGGTTTTTCTCTTTCGGTGTCACGTGTCCTTGTTCTGCCAGTAGATGTCCTCATACCCCTTTGCATTTTCACTGAATTACAGTTAAAGACTGCTTTTCTGATTTCCAACTTTTTATACTTGTCACAGCATAACAATGTCCACATTATACTGTCAGTAACAAACAACATAATTTTGTGTGAATTTAA